TTTCTCAGGGGGTGTCGAAGATCTCTCTGTGTGTCCTACAAATCGTATGCATCTACGATTGCCATGTGATGATTACAGCTTCGAGAAAGGTCTGGCCTCCCGCGCTGGGTTTATTGATTCAACGTATCCAGAGGAAGTTGGTATCACAAATGTTTACGGCTACTACCTCAAGCTCCTGGCCTTGAGGGATGAGGTCTTAAGGTAGGATCTACCCAAACCCCACCATTTTCATTTTCCTGTCCCGGCAAGGTTCTCACCAATACGTCCAGATATACCAAACGAGTCAGAAGAGATAACGAAAGCCCAGAACGAAGTCGTAGCGAGCTGGAAGACATACAGAAGAGACTGGACGAGTGGGAAAAGCATCTTCCCGAGGAGTTGAAGCTTTCAAGATCTACGCTCCTCCTTCTCGTACATTCCGACGACGCCAGCCCATTTGTGATTCTTCATACCCATTGGCTCCAAAGTCAATGCGACTTGTATCGCTTCCTAATACCAGATATACGTGAAGCAGTTGGTAGAGACTGCTTCGAACGAACGCCGCCTGAATATGTCTCGTATTGCCAGGAAGCATGCTTGGATCGTGCGATTCGCCTTTGCGATTTGTGGTCGGAAGTCTTCCACCTCGAGCCCAGTGAGATGATACAAGATACGTTTCTTTGTACATCCATTTTCCAGGTTTCGCAGATTCTCCTTCATTTGGCGCACTTGCTCCCAGCAGAAGGATCTCGCTCCGTTGCTGCCCTTCAAGGAAAGCTGCGAGATGGGCTCGCGCTGGCTGATGGGCTCCGCCAAATGCACAAACGGGCAGACAAATGCTTGGCCGATGCCGAGCAACTTGTCAATGTATTAGGGCAGCATCGAGACTTGTGGCCTCGATCGTCGAGCCCGGAAGGGGAACAAAATTCACATCATCTACCTTCTCGCCACACTTTGATGCCTCGCGTGGAAGACGAGTCTTCGGTCCAAGCTTCAAATACTGAACCGCTCCCTATTGGTGATACTTCTCAGCAGAAGAGAATGGGTCGAATCACTCCTACTTTCACTAGACAACTGGGCGACTTAAACCAGGCTACAAGTGGTGATTTCGTCGCGAGAGACGGGGTGATGTCCATTGGGCAAGATATAGGGATGCTATGGGACCCTTTTGATATGCAAATGGAGGATTATAATTATCTGATATTGTAGTTATATCACACTGAAAAATCTCTTGATGAGAGAATACCTTTCGTGTGAGGAGAGATCTAGATGGGAGCAACGTGCATTATATCAAAGAGTCGCATATTGGAGCTATTTATTCTGAAATAACGACTGGCTTGAAGCGACAGACGTTAGATATCTGTATGACCCGAACCCGAATTTTTGAATTTTTTTTTGTTCATATTTGTTCTGCCAGTTTGGAAGTGAGCGAGCACTCATGGGCCAGGTTGAGGGGAATAGGTTCCGCGAGTCCGTGGCGGGATTACTACTTAGCAAAGCAGCACTTATTAAATAGAGGTTCGGGTATTGCCTGGTTTTTTAAAGATTGCGTGTCTTTCTGCCGTTCAATTTACATAGAGATGATGATGCATCCTCAAGCTGTTGGTGGGTGTAGCCACGCGAGACGCGAGGGGAACCAAACAACGCGTCAGACGGGAAGGCAATACAGAACGCCCTAATTTTGGCCAATCAAATTTGTTTACTGTGGGAAATTGACCGGCGACTTTCTCATCAGCAGCTTCAAATTTGCTCCACAAATTTCCACCGAGATCAGATCTCCGTTGAGGGTCTCGGGTTGATCAGACATACCACGTATAAGGGCATTCCGGCGATCCGAGTTTTTTGCTCGCTGTCTATCTTCCTTTCTCTGTTAAATAGTTCTCATGCAGACATTCTTACAGTTTTGCTTCCCCTCTAATTTGAAAATAAACCTGCTTTCTACCAGGCGGATCTGACAACCCTGGTATCACTCTTAGGCTCGGCTCCTTGCGACTTACCCTACAGATCTACTTACTCCTTCACCCAACAATTGGCGCATCAACTCGGTGATTCATACACAACATGCCTGATTTCGAAGCCATTTCCGGCAGCGGAATAGATGTTTCGTCAGATATTGACTCTTCTCAGAGCAAAGAACGACCCTCGGAGAAGAACAAGAAGGATGAACCTGTAACAACACTCTCTATGACTAAACCCTCCGATGAAGAGAGACATACTGTTGAGGAATCAGCACCGAGTCCCAAAAAGTCAGTGTCTTTTATGCTTGCCTTTGCAGGACTTTCTGCGGTTATGTTTGTTTTTCATGTAGACGCAACGTGCTTGGGTATTGCCCTCCCAGTAAGTAACGAGACGTGCCTCTTCTTGACCTCTTTTTTTCCATTGCTTACCTGTGTCTTCATTGTGCCCAACCGGTAGACTATAGCCAGAGACCTTGGAGGCACGAGTTTGCAGTCATTTTGGGCAAGCCTGTCGTACACCCTTTGCAGTCTGGTCTTACATCCAGTATTGGCCAGCATCTCGGACATTTTTGGGCGAAAACCCCCACTCTACCTGTCCATTGCCCTTTTCTTCATCGGATCCATCCTCTTTGCTATTGCTCCAAATATGGATGTTCTCATTGCGGGGCGAGTTCTACAAGGGCTTGGCGGCGGAGGGATCGACGTGATAGTCACTGTTACTATTGCCGACATGACAACCCTCGAGGAACGGGCCAAGTATCTCGGCATTTTAGCCATCCCCTCAGCCGTGGGAAACATTCTTGGCCCTTTCGTCGGTGCGCTTTTCTCAACGTACGTCACATGGCGCTGGATTGGATGGATCAATCTTCCCATACTCGGTTTGGGATCTCCCCTGGTCTTCTTCTTCTTGAAACTCCGACCTGTTCCCAATGAGGGCCCATTGGCCGACCGGTTGAGCCGTCTCGATTGGCTGGGTATGGCTCTTGTTGTAATTGGAATCGCCATCTTCGTCATTCCACTGAGCTGGGCCGGCTCCTTGTTCCCTTGGGCTTCCTGGCAGACCTTGGTTCCCATGCTCCTGGGCATAGTCGTGCTCGTGCTTTTCGTGTACTACGAGGGAAAGCCAACGGAGCCCATAATGCCCCACCGGCTCTTTCACTCCAAGACGGCGAATTCAACACAGATTGGCGGTTTCCTCCACGGCGCGGTTCTCATCTCGTTGCTGCAATACTTGCCCTTGCTCTACCAGGCCGTGCAGCTAGAGACGGTCATCTCGGCAGCAGTCTCCCTTCTGCCGACCGTCATTCTGAGCACGATAATCACCGCCGTGTCTATGATGATGGTCCCCCTGTTCGGGGGTTACGTGTGGATTCTACGACTCTCCTGGGTGATTCTTACGGTAGGCACCGGCGTGCTGGCCCTCTTCGACGTGAGCTCCTCATCAGCCATGCGGTACGGCCTTCCGATTCTATGGGGCCAGGGAGTTTCACTGCTACGCCTCAGTATGCTTCCCATCCAGGCCAGCGTCAAGCACGTGGACGACACTAGCTTGGCCACCGGCCAGTTCCTCACCATACGCATGTTTGGCGGGCTCGTGGGCCTTGCGTTATCGTCGGCCATCTTCAACACCGTGTTTGCTTCTTCAATTTCTAGCGCTGGGGTCGAGCCGGTCGGACCCTTGGCGCCGCTGAGCGATGCCGCTAATGCGGTGAATTTCATCGACGAGTTGAAGTCGCTGGACATCGCTAGCTCGGAGCTGGATCCCGTGCTGAGGGTCTACCTGGACTGCTTCCGCGTGATCTTTTACACCATGACGGGCTTGAGCGGGTTGGGGCTGGTGACATCAGTCTTCATGGAGGAGATTGACTTGAAAAAGCAGAGTTTGGGCAACCAGCGATACGAGGAGAATTAGTGCGCTAGAGGGGTTGCAAATGGAACAAGCATAATTATTTTTACGGGGGCTGGCGTGTCCAGTGCCTGAGAAGGATCTGAGAGACCAGAGTAATAAAAGGAGTAGCCTGACTTACTAAGTTATTTGTTGCATGACATCAACCAAGACCCCGGTCAGCCCATCTGTCATGCATTGAAAGCTTTGGGCTTTCACGCTCCTTACCGTGCCAGGCCGCACCTGCGAAAGAAACTGTGCCTTTGGGGGGTGGCTTGGTGTTTGTTTGGTGTATCTTAGTCCATCACCACACGACGACAATAACAATTTTCTACCTGTAACACTTTTCTACCTGCAGCGACAACTGGTGTGAGCGTGGAATCACCAAATGCCTGTGCCGGCAAGATAAATTAGATCGCCAACTACTCGCATGTGCAGTGGGCCTGTGGACGGTGCAGATGCCGAAGTCAAAAGGCATCCAAAGCCCTTGCTGGGCTGGTATTGAACTGTACATGTATTCTTGGCTCTGCGGGCGACGGTCCATACGACCGTTACTGGAAGTGATTACGAGGGGGCCTGGCTCGATACACTACCGACAACTACCGGGACGGGGCCTCAGTCGACGAGTGGCCGTCACTCAGGCGTATAGCAGCCAATGGAACAGACAGTAAGCCGGGGGTCTAGCTCAGCTGCTAGCGAGTGAAGACGCAAATATGGGTGGACCGGAGGTTTAATTATAGCGACCCGTGGCCTGCTTATGCTAATATTGGAACATGCTGGGAGGACCACCCCTGTCCGTCCCCTTGGCAGCACGAGGCAAAGCAGTCTAGGTGCTTATCCTTCCCGTCTCCAGATGGACAGAGGTGAGAATAACCGTTGCATTGGCCGCCAAAAATGCTCTGTGCCAAGGAGTGTCACGGACGCAGCCAGGCTGTGCCCCGGACGCTTCGGGTGATCTCATGGGTCGTTCCACGGAATCTGCAGCGAACCATGTGGGCGGCATTCGTTAAAACTCATCCGGAGCGCTTCGTTTTGGGAAATTCCCCTCTATTCAACCGTTTGATTCTCGCCACCCATCCGCGCCTTTACCCCATTGATGCCTTTCGCTAGTGCTATCGACGGGATATACAACAGCGACAGCAAGAACACAATCAATCAACGTGCGAAGACGGCCCACCATGTATCCCAAGGCCATCTCCATCTTGGTCGTCGTCCTCAGCGTGTGCGCCATCTCAGTGCGCGCCGCCGGCCCCAATGTCAACCTGAAGCGAAGAAACTTCCATTCGCGTAAGACGGCATGCCGATTACCTTGTCTGCCGGTGGAGAAATGCTGACGCTTTCTAGTTGCGGTCCTGGGCGATTGGTTGTATATCGAGGGAGGGTCATACTCCTCATGGTTCGAGAAGGGATTATCGGATCGCGTCGCAAGTACGGAGGCACCTCAGCAGACCAACGAGGCATCTCGGCAGATACTAACTACCATTCTCCCACAGTCAATTCGACGTACGCCCTTCCCCTCACGCAGCCATGGATGAACGGCTCGGTCATATTCCGTGAGACAGCATACAACGGAAAGGTCCAGACCGTCGACCAGTTTGGTCTTTGGACCGACGGAAACAACAAGATGTACAAGTGGGCAGGTTCATCGACCAACCGATCCAAGGTGGAGGACACATACAAGAAGACCCTGTACGAGTTCACAGTCGACGGCAACGGTGGCGGAACCTGGAGAGAGAAGGACGCCGCCAACCCCGATACGTTCGCCGACCTCCGAGTAGCAAGGCAGGGCGCTGCAGCATCATGCAAGGGAGTCGGCTACTACATGGGCGGAGCATCGAGCTACTGGACCGAGTCTGGAGTCAGCGGCGAGCAAGATGGCGGCTGGTTCCCGGCTCCCGGGCTGCTCACCTACGAAATGAGCACCGGCAAGTGGGAGAACATCTCCAGCGACGGTTATTCCATGGACGGGCCCATTATCAACGGCAGAGGCCATTGCATTGAGGGTTTCGGAAGCGACCCCCTCGTCATGTTCTTGGGAGGCGGAGTATCATCGATGTCGACAGGGAAGCAGACCAAGCAGAATTCTCTCTCCGACCTCTCATTCTACAACCCTGTGAAGCGGAAGTGGCTTCAGCAACCGACTTCCACCGACGCGTCTCTGTTTGGATCCGCCACCGCCCCGGATTCTCGCAGCCAGTTTTGCCTGACAGGAGCCCGCGGCAAGAATGGAACCTACGAGATGTATGAACATTGGCTCTGCTTTCTTCGTATTCGAATGGATGTGCTGACATGGGTGATTTTTAGCTTTGTATATGGAGGGTACAATGATCGCATTTCGACAGATCTAGACGACGTCTGGGTGTAAGTATTTGGCCTACTGCCGGTCTAGTAAGCGGACAGACAAGACTAACACGCCTTGTTTTCCAGACTGTCCCTGCCAGCATTCCGTTGGTTCAGAGCACCATCGAGTCGAGCCCCCGGGCGCCGATACCACGATTGCGCAACCATTGGCAAAAGCCAGATGATCTCGGTCGGCGGTGCAACAGGCGACAATGCCTTCAGCACCGTGGAACAGTGGCCCAATGGCATTGGAATTCTTGACATGAACACGGGCAACTGGGTGGACAGCTACAACCCATCTGCTGGGGATTATGAGACGCCCAACTTTATCCAGCAATATTATCAAGAAAGGTACGATCCCAAGCGTGCATTATTTTAGACTGTCAGCTAACTCATTCCAGTGATTATTCCGCCAGGGTCAACTGGACCAACGATGCGGACTTCAAGAGCAGCTTTTCAGGTAAGAGAATCACGAGTGCGACCGGTTGAGTGCGAGAAGCTGACCAGTATTATCCAGGCCTGAAGATTACCAACACAACAAGTGACGCGAGCAAAGATAACACGAATAATGACAACAATAACAACACCAACAAAACAAATATCGGCGCCATCATTGGAGGCGTACTGGGAGGAACGGCCCTCGTCACGCTTATCCTGGCCTTCGCATGGTTCATGTACCAGCACCGGCGCCCCGTCCCCGAGCCAGAACTACCAAGGGATGAGCCCAAGAGTTACTATTACGGGTCGGATTCATCCTTCTATTCCAAATCAGCAAGCCCCGAGACGGTCTACTCCAATCCCGTCTATCCCAGTCCGATTTATGAGATCCACGATGCTCGGTATGGCCGTCCGAATGTGGTTGAGCCGATGAGACAACCGACGCCGCCGCCAGCAGAGATGGTCGGCGTATAAAAAAAAAGACATTAACTTCATTCATTGTATATATTTTGATAGAGAGTACATAAAAATACCTGCGGAAAAAGTCAGGAAATACTGCCACATTCTAGCTTCCTTTGTGTGTCGTGATTCACAGCTGGCTACTTATGTCTGATGATTGGACGGACCCTGGCGTCTTCGTGATATCTACAAGGCTTCTACATGCAATTCATAGTCTTTCTGAGCAGTACTGTTCAAAGGCAGAGATGGAAATTCCTCTGCGTCAAAAAAATAACTGGAGTGTGTGCCCTGAGTTAGGTAGCAGATCCATGATGAAACGGACAGGGTTTGTGCCAATCTTACCCTTAATTACCCAGTAAGTCTAGAATCTCACGATAATGATGAAATTCGCTAGATTTCCGCTTAATATCACTAGCAGCCACATAATCAGATGCTTCTAGCCCGTCCCTCGCTCGACATTAAGGTATATATATCACAGTAGTTATTTCCTATGCATTTGAAGTCACATTAAACAGTTCTAGAGCAGCTAGCAGCAAGAGCGGCGGCAGCAGTAGAGGCTGTATTAAGTTCATTGAGGCGCGTAAGTGTGTGATGGCTTCGCGTCGCGTGTAGCAGTCTAGCTGTATTAGGAAAGATATACTTATAAATTAGTGGCTTTCTAAGTCCCTAGTACATCTTAGTTCGCTGCGGAATGGATAAAAGCACTGTATTTTAACATTCCTTATAGACCAGGTTCACTGTAGGAGGGAGATTGGAAACGGATTCACGTCCTGGAACCCCACCCCTTTCATCTTCTCGATGCTGTCGAGCGGGTAAAAGTGATCTAAACGCTCTTCCTCTCCCTATCGCATCCTCTAGCTTATGCAGACCCTGTGATCCTACCTCAGCTGGGCACGCGACCATCAAATGGCAGCTCCCGCCGCCGCCGCCGTGGCAGATCGGGCCCAGGCCCGCGAGCTGGTCGATGAGATCGCTGTCAATCATGGCTACCTCCCACCCCATGTTGTTGACTTAATCCCTGATGAGATCCGTGCTACTGTTTTGCATGCCCTTCAGAAGAAAGATAATATGATAGCAGCATCTGTCTCGACGTACGTATAACCGCCAGTCCCGCAATCAATCAAATACAATTAGGCGTGCATGCACTAAGGTAATCTGCTCGACAGACTGGCCCAAAATTTATATTCAAGCTCTGCTCGCTTCATCTTCGAATTACTCCAAAATGCTGCTGACAATAGCTATTTGAAGGCCTTGGCCGAGGGGCATGACCCGTACGTCTCATTCAGCGTCTACCCGGACCGACTTGTTGTGGAATGCAACGAGGATGGCTTCACTAGTGAAAATCTCACAGCAATATGCAACATTGGGAAGAGCTCCAAGCAAGGCGCCCAGGGATACATTGGCGAGAAGGGCATCGGTTTCAAGTCAACGTTCATGGCTGCCTGGAAGGTGCAAATTGAATCAGGGCCTTTCACTTTCTATTTCGAGCACCAGGTGGGTGAGTCTGGCATGGGCATGATCACTCCCATCTGGTTCGAACCCGAGGAGGAGTTTACAGGCCCAGGAACACGGATTTCGCTCTACTTTCATGACAACGGAACGCCAGGGGATCTGGCGGATCGGCGTGACGAGGTCATCCACCAGCTCAAGGAACTTCAAGGCGAGGCGTTGTTGTTCGTGAATAAACTGAGGCGCATCAATATTGCTGTCTTCGAATCGGGCGAGGACAAGATATGGTCCAAATCTATGGCATTATCAGACAGCCCAAGCTTTCCACAAGGTTCCGAGCTGCGCACGTCTAAATTTGATGCTACCACTGGCACCGAGTCTGAGATGGTTAAAAGATTCCACATCACCAAGTATTATGTTTTTGGGCTGTCCAGGAATGAGAACAGGTCTTATTCAGAGACTGAGGAGGGTCTGGCTTTGTATTCGACATCGCAAGTGATGCTGGCCTTTCCGCTTGATCAAAACGACGAGCCCATCACTGAAATCCAAGATGTTTTTGCCTTCATGCCAGTCCGTAAGGTTGGCTTTAACGTCAGTGGTGTCCTGTTTCGCAAACAAATTCTCAACTGACGAATTCATGCTTTTATTTAGTTCCTCATCCACGCAGACTTTGTGACTCAGGCTAATCGCCAGGACATTGTCTGGAGTTCCCAACGAAATATCGGTCTTCGCAAGGCTATCGGCCAGGCTCTGGTCAAAGGCATAGAAGAGCTGGCTAAGCATCAAGCCCTTCGGTACAAGTGGATGAGATACTTGCCCCGTGAAGATAGCCTGAACAACTCACCCTTTTGGAAAGATGTGATATCTGAAATCAAGTCGCCTCTTTCCCAGGCGCAGATTCTTGTTCCCATTCGCCAGGCTGCCCGATGTCCCATACAACAAATGAGGCAGCTAGAGGCTCGTCACTTGGACAAAAACGGCGACGCTCTCATCCCAGATCTATGGAGTTGTCCGATGTACCTATCCAAGGACTACGAAGATGAAGACCTTGATACTCTGAGAGAGTATGGCCTTTCAGTACTCCAACTGGGTGAGATATATCCTATTCTCTCGGGAATGATCAAGGAACAATCGTGGAAAAAAGCACTCTTCGAGACTCGAGATGAGGACTGGCACAGCAGGCTGGCGAAATTGATTCTGGCAGCGATGGATTATGACATGGCACAATCGTCCGGGTCGTCCCAACCTTCGGGCAACATCGGCCCATCGTCATCCTCGACAGGGCTATTCTCATTCAACTCCAATCCGAGACCATCCACCTCTTCGCTGTTTGCATTTGGTTCCCAAGGCAAGACTACTGCCAACGCCAGCGCCACAGGTACCTTTAATTCGAGAGCATCCACGCCTAAGCTGTTCTCATTCAGTGACCAGAATGCGGATTCTGCCAAATCGGAAGTGAAAAACAGATTTGCACACCTTCCCTTGATACCTCTTGCTTCGGGAGAAGTCATTCCATCCATCCCCATAAATGGGGATGGAGCTACCTGCCATTTCCCAGATTTTGCAGGGGTTCCTGTTCCTCGGGATCTCGTACCACATGTTATTCTTCCAGCTGCGGCAGCAAACGCTTCATGCCGGCAGTTGTACGAAAGCCTCGGTGCGTCGAAGCCGTTGCCTCCATACGTTACGAGGAAGCTAGTTGAAAGATACAAGACCCCCAACGAGCACAACGTTACTCTTGAAGAAACAAAGCAACATCTAGTCTGGCTATATCGGATGAAGCTACCATCGTCCGGGCCCAAGGCGGCAGTCCAGCCTTTATTTGCAACGAAACCCTCCGTCTTGGACGACATGATAGTTTTCGACCATATGAACCGCCCAGGACGAGCCCGGCAAGGGCTTGTTCATCTCCCAGGGGGAGGGAAGTACTCTGCGCAGAATTGGCTTCGACCCGTCCAAATCCCCGGTGAGCCAGATGTCGAAATAGACGTTCCCTATCTACACCCACATTACCTCGAAGATCCTCCCGCCCAACCTCTCTGCTCCGGATGGACTTGGGAAGACTGGCTTCATTCCACTTTCAACCTGCCAGTAGATGTAGAATTTATTGCGAGCTCAGATGATTCTCGTGGAATCAAGGGAAAGGATACTCTATCTCAAGAGGGGGCTTTCCTTATCAAATACCGCTCAGAGGAGGTTCTCACATATTTTGCCACTAAGTGGAGCTCACCCGACTTCAAGAAGTATTGGGAGGAAGACTCCGAACGCGTTGATCTCATCAGAAAAGCCGAGTTTCGCACTATTTTCGAGGGTGGAACCTGTGTTATGGCGCGAGCGTTCCTACCGTTTCCTGCTCTGTTGTCTCGCAGCAAGAGCTTCCTGAAGAATATCGAGCCAGTTGGTTTTCTCAAGGTTGAGACTCCCTTAGAGGATGACGACCCTTGCTGGATGGGATTTGGGAAACACTTCGGCATCAAAGTTAAGGACGATATGTATCTTTCAATAATTATACTAAGGGCGCTCGTATACGGTCGATCTTCTCCCGCTGATTCAATGCGCCATTCTATGTGGAAACTCTACAACCGAATCTACGCACTGTATCTGGCATGTGATGAGAAGGATAGACGCGAGCACCAAAGTGAATTCCGGTGATTTATCTCACACTACTTCCCAACTTTTTCTCGAATATCATGGCTAATCAATCTTCCCACGCTTTTAGTTCATTTACAGATAGTATATACATCGGTGACGACAAAGACGGCGTACATATGTTCAGGGGCCCCAATGACTGCCTCTGGGACGCACCCCCAGGATTCTCCCTCAAAATTCCACTCCGCGACAACTGGAAAGCAGAGTTGGATTCCATCGAGCCTCAGGACAGCGACAGCTTGACAAATTTCTTTTGCCATTTCCTTGGAGTTAGGAATACCACCATCAAGGACATCTTGGATGAACTTTGCCTTAAGCGAGATTTGATGTCTCATAATTGTCATACTGCAAGTAATGACCTGATGGAAACATACGAGCTGCTTCATCAGTTGAGCGTGGACAATGTGTCTCGTAGACAATCGAAGCACATAAGGTATGAGCTAAACTTATTGGTACCAACCAATGCCCAATGCTAACTGATGCTAAGGCATATATTCTCTACCGGAAAGATGATATATATACCCACTGGCAAGAACAGCAGGCATTGGTTCAAGACATCAGAATGCCTGTGGTTAGCCAACGGCGCGATCGTCGGGAAACCTTGCCTAGATGAATTCTATCCGGATCTTGAAGAGTTCTTCCATCAGTTCCTCGAGATTCCTGAACTAGATCTGAAGCTTTACTATCAGGAACTTGTTGACATGCACGATACTGTGCCTACAGCAGCAGCCGCCAAGAATATGCTTGTCTCCCTCAATGCCATGCTTTCTTCGGCGCCAGACCCCATGAGATTCAAATCTCAAGCTGAGCATTTCCATATCTTTCCCGCAATCCTCCCTGATGGTACTAGTAAAGTACTTCGCTCGCGTGATCACTTTCTCATCGGTGATCGCCGCCACTACGCCGAGGCCTTGAAAGATAGTCTTACGATACTTGACTTCACACTCGATGAGGTGACACGGCTGCACATCGTGTTCGAGTGGTTTGGCTTGAAAGACAGATATCTATCCCAAGCTGTGACCGAGATGACTACAGTTAAGGAAGGGCAATATGAGAAACTCAACAGCTTGGCGAGAGATCTCGCATTGAAAGCTCCTGCTCTTGTGAGGTAAGTACACGCAAGCACTCGAAGCAAGATTGCCAAGGCGGTGAGACTAACACAGTATGATATAGCATCGCGATATATTCCGATGAATACCTCAACCCTGATAAGCTAAATGCAAGCTTGCAGAGGGTCCAGGTATATGTTACTGACTCCATTGTATCCACCTTAATCGCCGAAGAGGGCGGGAAGAAAGTCCAGAAATCCATCGGCAAAAATGACCTTCACGTACAGAATTTAGTCAACGGCGATCTGCGGATACACATCACAGCAGACGAAGATTCTCGAGACTTGGCTTTCGCATCCAAACTACCTCGGGAGCTCATGACTGCCTTGCTGGGATATGATACACGGAAGGTAGATGCTACAGTCTTTAATATCGCGGCGAGCGTTCTCCAAGCCAAGCGGAGCCATGTCCACCGAATCCTCGAGTTGAATGGTGTGCCCGACTTGAAGCTGCCATGTCTTGTCGGCGAAAACTATCTGGCTGCTGAAGTGGAAGCCGAGAAGCGAAAAATGGCACCTCCTCCGGAGACTTCGCTCACTCTACAGGCCACGTATGACAAGGATGCTTACCTTGACATGCTCGTCCACGTTGTAGAAGCAGCAAGAGCTCACCAATTCCCAAGCAGGAGCGGCGAAGCGGATCTTTCCCATGCTCTCAATGGCCTAAAAATCTCGGGTTCCAAGCCGAAAACCAAACCGCTGAAGTTCTTTCACCCCAGTATAGAAGAATGGAGGCAGTTGGTGGGCGCGGCTGGTGAACTTTTTGTGAGTGGCAAATATAGTTTTCTGCTCGTTTTCTATCTCGAACTAATGATCTTTTTCCTGGTCAGGTTTTCGAGATGCTCTCTAGCCTTGATCCCCCTCTACCTAACTTTGGACGCTCCAACTGGCCGAGCGTTATCCGAAAATACGTCACTGACCATCCAGACTACACGGATATGGATGCATGGGTTGGGGAGGAAGATGGCGATATCCAGTACCACGATAAACAGAACGCCCTAACAGATTTTCTCATTGAAAAGGGCTACTTTGACGAGACGTAGGTAGGTGAATGCCCAGAGTATCACATCGAGGTGAAGACTTCGGTTGGCAGTCTTAGTACGCCATTTCATATGAGCAAGACCCAATACAGTCGCGTACGTTACTATCCAATCAATCCCCTTTGCTTCATGTTTGTTTTCCATTCTGACCTGATGCGATGTTCAGATGCAACGGTACTGGTCAGATGCTAGCACTGGGAGCAGTAGAAGCAAAGTGTTTGCTATTTTCCGAGTCTATGGCATTGAGTCGGGCGAGATTGGCCTCAAGGTGTACGTCGACGCCGAGAGCGCAGGCCAGGAGGGAAACTTGAAATTTGAAGCCGACAGCTGGGCTGTGAGAGCTCTCTAAGGCTGGCGGTGCTTGTGTATTATGTATATCGTTTTCATGATATCATATTGTGTAATACTATGTTGAATAAGAATAACGAACAAACAAAGATCTCAACTTGGAAGAAAATATATCCAGGAGAGAAGATAGGTACTCCGGGCTACGTTGAGCTGAAGAGAACTTGGCACATGGCAAATCCGCCTTCCTCAAAAACCTGTTATATCAGAGCCAAACTTTCTTATTGACATATCCGATTCTGTGATGAAGCGAACTTCACTCGTGATTTAGAGCTTTGGCTCTAATTTCTTGACAAAACGCTTCGCCTACGGAGTAAGGTAGTTAGCAAAAGTTCTATTTCCGATCTTGAGTCTATGAAGGGCTGAAAATCGGTTGTGTTGTTTGATGGAAGGTTAGAGGATGGACTCACTTCATCCACAGCGTCGTGGTCGAGAGCCCACTTGAGAAATCGGGACGACTGGAAGCTTGCATTTATGTCTGGGTGGACATTCTTCATAGACTTGAGACTATGCTGGGCAGATTGGGTACTGGGCATAGGAGCTCCTTTTCCCAAGAATAAATCAGTGTTCCATCTGGAATACGCTTTGATTCGTTCCACTCGCGGCTTCCTTATGGCCTGCCAGGCCTGGGACACACTCTGCATTTGGGCGTGTCCTAGAGGGAGCCCATTGTTTTTCTCGCTGTGATGAGATATCAAGAAGTCCAAGACAGCAATGTCCTCAACTATCTGCGAATACCCCTGAGCTGCATTTGGATGCATACCATGGGCTGAATCGCCTACGAGGAGGATACGTCCTCCATCGCTCGACCAGTGCGGCAAATCGGGCATCTCAGCCAGTTTCCAGCGGTCACACTCCGTGGCAAGGCTCAGCGCAACATCGAGCTCACTACATGTTGAGCCTGCAAATCTTTCTCGGACATAGTTGATGTCGCCATTCTCTTCCCACAGTGATCTCTGGTCAGTTTCCGATTCAACCCCAAAGAGAAAGCCGACGCGTTGCAGCCTTGAATTGAACCTGGTGATGACAAAAGCGCCCTTGCCTAGCCAGCAGTTGCCACTGACTTGATCCATGAGCCGAGATGTGCCTGGGTGGGAACGCAGATCTTCTGCAGGCACTTGGAATCCGTAGAACGTCACGCCGCTGATGGCAGGATCTGTCGCTTCCGGACCTCCGGGGAGTATCTTTGATCGGATTCTTGATCGGATCCCGTCTGCGACGACAACCACGTCTGCCTTCTCAAGGGTCCCGTTGTCTAACGAGACTGAAGCACCCTCTGCATCCTCACTAACGTTGCTGACAGTAGAACCAAAATTAATCCGAACTCCCTTGTCCAAGGCTTTCCGATATAGAAGTTGAACGACATCTTGGCGAAATGTGCCCCAGTCAGGGAACGAAGAGATGTCAACGGCAGCGCTACCCATCGAGATTTCACCTGTATCCATCCGACGGAGAAGAAAATTGGGCGTTTGTTCGGAAATTTTGGCCAGGTCTGCCTCCAAATCCCACTCACGCATGATACGGCTGGCACCAGGGCGGATGTTGATCGCGCCGCCTCGTGGTGTGAGCGCGGGATTTCGTTCCAGAATTAGGACTTCATGGCCACGCCTTGCGAAACAGAGAGCTGCGCTTAAGCCGCCCAGTCCAGCGCCGATGATGATGAATTTCATGATATTATGTTGGTGATAGATGAGAGATGCGTCCGCAATTGTTTCAAGGAACACAGGGAAGCTTCCTAGAACCAACGGCAGCTTTAATACAGTAAATTAATAAGCCCATATATGCGTTACCGGGATTTTTCTTTACACTCTGACCAGGGTGAGATTCCTAATGGTCCCAGGAGATGGGTTTACGTACTCCTTGCACCGGCAAACAGTCGGCAGTCAGGAGATGAGGGTGTTCCGTGCAGCTTACATCTACGGCACTAGGCAGACAACTTGTCAGGGGTAGCTAGCCATCAGATACCTTGGATGGCCCAGGTCCTCCTTTTCTTGTATTCCGCAATTGTCCGTCGGACATTACTTTACTGCTCATACTCACCGACGGCAAAAATCAGCGACTTTCACTTCAAATTAGTTGTCGAGGGAAAAGGGTTTAACTGAGGGAACGCATTGCTGTTGAAGATTGAAAGCCAAGATGGTTTTGAAAGAGTGCCACAAAGGTCCTGTTTCTAGATACTATACAAAACCTGAGAATATCCTATTCACTCATTCTTTCTTTCTAATATCTTTCCAAAGATCGTCAACAAACGTATGACAATTTGCCCCGCCCCCGGTACATGGAAAATGAGCGTAGTAGTTGTAGTGTGAATTTTTCGCTTTCAGGGCTTCACCACTCTGCTCGACATTGGCATCAGGGTCGACTTCACCCAAAAACTTTGTCCTCCTACGCGCTATGGGCCCCATTAGAAATCCATCCGTGGTCATCCCCCGCGCCGGGTCCCATGGCTCATTGATTCTCCATTGAGGTGTTGGGCTTTTGCCCCCAGTACGCGGATCGTAGCCAAAGTCACACATGTGCGTGTCCCCAAAGTGGTGTTTTGTCTGGCCGTTCTCGTGCGAAATCTCGTAGGTGCCGTGGATCAGACTTCGGTGTCCGTTGTATGAATTCTTTTGCTCCCAGTAGGCATATCTCTTGCCGGGTTCCAACTGCGTATCTTCCGCCACATGCTGAAGTCTCATCATTGCGGGTGTGTTGATAGGTTCTTTATGCTCCGTACCAGCTACAGGAGTCACGCCATCAAAAAGCCTCTCGTTGCTATGGTTCTGGGCACCGCCGTTGTTCTGGGCACCGCCATTATTGGCCTGGCCTTTCGAGTTGACTAGGCATGACCAACTCAAACTTTGCCTCCAAGAGCAGGTAGATTTTGTATCCAAAGACTTGCCCTGTGAGACCCGGACTGTAGACTCTCTTCTATTAGCAGAAGCCTTCCCATTCCCTGCTTTGCTTTTGTTGCCAATTATCTTATCATTGCTGTTGTTCTTGTCTTTCTCTTTTGTACCAGTTTTCTTACGGTTGTTGTTCCTCTTATTACTTGTCTTCTTGTTTCTCTTCTTCTTGTCAGCTGTCTTGATCGTTAATCTCGTTGTGGTTATTCTTCGTATTGTTGGTTGCCGTATGATTTCCGCTCTTCTTGTTGCCGACCTTCTTGTTGCTCTTCTGTTTGTCGCTGTTGGCAGTCTTCTTCTTGGCAACCCTCTGTTGATGGCCTTCTTATTGCCGAACTTCTTGTTTCCGACTCTCGGGTTGTCGTTCTTGTTATAACTGTTGCCAACCTTCTCATCACCGGCCATCTTGTTGCTAACTCTCTAGTTGCTGTTCTACTTGTAGCTCACGGTAGCCTTCTTATTGCCGATGCCGAACTTCTTCTTGCTGTTACCGGGCTTCTTCTCGCCGTTATCATTGTTGTTTTTCTGATCGCTCATCCTGTGGTTGATTTTCTTGTTGCTTTTTACCTCGTTAGTATTCTCATAACTGTTGATACTTTTCACCATTCTTGTTAGTGTTTACCTTCTTGCTTGTGTTATTGCTGATCATCGTATTGCTATTTATCTTGTTGTTCGCCTTCTTGTTGTTCACCTTCTTGTTGTTCACCTTCTTGTTGTTCACCTTCTTGTTGGTAACCTTCTTGTCGTTGGCCCTACTAAGGCTCAGGGCTGACTCTCATAATATCAATAAGAATGAAGAATCTCTGCAGGTTAAAGGACAAGTCGCCACAAATTGAGGGACGCTCTCAGAAAGGCCAGCCTTTGATATGGCACAGCTTAGAACTGACGTTGTTATTGTCACATAAGTGGTGCGTGAGGCCTAAGAGTCCCGAATTCGTCAGTCACGTACACGAGTTATGGCACGTGTAACGTGAGTGTACGGAAACATGACTTTAACTCTGAGCAGCTTTTATATTCTCACATTGTAAATCCAACAAGACATTCCCTCCCGAAAGACATGACGCGCCTATTTTCCCCACGGCCGAAGCAGCCCGCGACCAACACAGAGAGATTTCAAGCAACCAGAGAAATGGCAAGGAATCTACACTTAGGGTTAGTAAATCACATTTCCCAGGCCTCCCATTCATTCAAACTGTTACTTCCTGAAACTAACGTGCTAGCTGTAGGTGTAAAGACACCGTTCCTCCCGATTATACCATATGCCTCCGGCACGGCCATGCTTCATACAACCCATTGTATAACCAACAAAAACTTGAGACTTTAGGAGAATTCTATCGTGCGTATTTACACTCGGATAGTTGTAAACATCTGCTATTGCTCTGAGTCATCTACCCCTCCACCTCGAGCTGAATGCTATTCTAATCCTCTTCACCTTGAATAGGCTGGGATCAAAACTCACTGGAGCCCTACCTACTTACACAAATCATCAGAGAAGAAGATTATGAGACTCTCTTACTCCGCGCCATACCCTCGCTCTGAGCTATCACTATCTTTTTCGCCCGATGGCCATTCAACATAACACTCAGCCATATGACAAGCCTAACACTCTCTGCTTTCATCCGTGCTATTACCTTCTTCTACTGAAGACACTACATGTTGTTGAGCACATGTTGGCACGGTGATGATCGACAATTTAATCGCAAGACAGACCATGTCGTGCTCGAATATATTTCCCAGGCCTTAGCTAGCCCCCCGAGTGGCAGAACAAGATTCTGACACAGCTCCATCATCCGAAGCTAAGGTCTAATAATACTTTCGGCTTGCGGTAGGCCAGAACGTCTGATCCATTCGAGGCAGAGGTCAGGGTTCAAGAAGCCATTCACTTCACCTGTTCGCTTATACGTATAATAATATCCACATAGTCCATTTTACGGTCAAGGCCATTTCCAGAGCCAAGCTGTCAAAGAAGAGATCGTCTTCATATTTTAGAGGGAGGACAAGTCGATTATGCTTTGATAAATGGTTTTGGGAGGTTGATCCGGTCCACGTGCGCTCCCAAATACAAGCTCTCAATGAGAAGAGGTTGCATTTAGGGATTGACTTCAAGCGTCGGAATGATGAGCTTATTTGAGCTTACTGTTGAGCTCCAGACATCTTAAACATGCACACACCCAGCCATCGTGTCGCTGAGGCTTCTGTGCTCATCCGAGAACCATTGCAGGTGCTACCTTGTGTTCCCGATGAAATTGTGATTACTTTTCTGCTCTTAAAGTCTTCAATGACAGTGCATCCAGAATTTCGACCTACAGTAAGAGCATGTGGTAGTAGCTTTCACCCCACAGCACTGGAAAGGGAAAAGGAATGCAGACAGTACAGCGAGCTTGGCACTGCTGCTTGTGGGCTCGCCAGAATTTGGTGATCCCACAAGATGTGTCTGTGCGTTTTCCTACGTAGGGCGAATCGAATTTGGATTGCAATCAGGGAATGAAAAAGCTGGTAGCCAACCATGAGATGAGCGATGATTTCAAGACTACCTAATGAAAACACCGCAAGGTAGCATCCAACTGCCACTCCTTGACCAGAAGGAGACATCTCATCCAGGACGGTTATGAATCTGCGCCTGCGAGCTGTTAGGGCTCGGCTGCTCGATGCCGATGCTTTTCCAAGGCCCAATCGGCACTGATGAAACACCAACCCCAGCCAATGATGACGCGCCGCAACCTGCTTGGCCAAAGCATCATACAGTATCATTGCTCGCCACCAGAGTGCCTGCATCCGTCTCTCATCCCAGCTCCTTGGCGACTGCACGCAATGGCAAGGTAGAGATGACTTCACAGGCAGAGCGCCCCTCGTCACCGCCACAGCAACGGACGCCTCAGCAGGCTTCCGGGATGCGCTGTGGCCCAGCCTCCTGCCTGACGTCACGACTCGGCATGGGTAGAGGCCAAGAACCAGGGCTGAAAATACGGGAATCTCGATGTCGCGAGGCTGGTAATTGGCGAGAAGGTCCCGGTGGTCAATGCAGATGCCGTGTCCCCATGCCGGCTCCATTGTAATCACGGCGGCCTGCCAAATCACAGCAGCTGATGCAAGGGCTCGAGCGAGCTGTAGCCATGGAAACTGGCGCTTGGCTTGCAGGTCCATGACGTGGTGGGAGAGGGGTTTGTGCCTGGATTCCACAATGCCAAGGGCCTGAGCCAAGCAGAGCATCGTCCAAGCAGCCGATACGGAGAGCCATTCATGTAAGTCGGATGCGAGATGTGTGTATGCACTCGTCCAGTGTGGTGTGTCGGTCGGGCATCGCTAGAGGGCTGTGAATCATTTCACAAGGCATAAAAAAGCCTGTTTCCCTCTTCTTGTCTCCCGCTCGTCTCCCCCTCCATCCTCATCTGCATATCAAACAGCCTCTCCTGCTCCGTGATCCTCACCCAAACACTTACACAACACCCCTCAACCCATCAACATGAAGTACTCTCTCGTCTTCCTCGCCGCTGCCGGCCTCGTCGCCGCCCAGGAGACCTCGCAGCCTCCTCTGTTCACCTCGCAGCCCCCTCTGTTCACATCTCAGCCTCCCCTGGTCACCATCCCCGCTGGCCTCGAGTCCGGAGCCGTGAGCTCTGCTGCACCCACCTCGGGCGGTGACTCTGGCTCATCTGCTGCCAACCCCAGCTCCTCCGCAGACGGCACCGCCATCGCGAGCAGCGCCGCCAGCTCCCTCGTCGGCTCCCTCACCTCGGCCGTCCCCACCACCTTCGCCTCCATCCAGAGCTCCATCTCGGGCGACCTCTCCAGCCGCCTGTCCAGCGCCTCCGGTGACGTCTCCAGCCGTCTCTCCAGCGCCTCTGCCGACCTGTCTAGCCGCGCGTCCAGTGCCTCCGACGCCATCACCAGCGCCTCGGGTGCCCTCTCCAGCGCCCTCTCCAGCATCCGCGAGTCCATCACCGGCTCCGAGTCCGAGAGCGCCACTGCCACCAACAGCGACGAGTCCAGCACCGCCACTGAGAGCGCCGCTGAGACCTCCACTGACGCTGGAAGCGGTGTCGGCAAGCCCGTGGCTGGTGCTGCTTTTGCCCTTCTCGTCGCTCTCCTTGCCCTGTAAGCGTGCGGCGTGTCTTGATTTAGAGCAATGGCAACAATACCCAGTTTGGAAGCGGAGGGAACACACTCATTTGATATTTTTGGGATGGGAGACGGGACGGACAATGCATAATGGAGTGGCAGTTGGCAGGGAATGCATCGACTTGGGGGGTTATCTAATGTGATTCACGGCCTAATTACGCATGAATAGATATGGAAATGGCTTCATAGTTTCGAACATCCAGTCAGCCACTGGGATCATCTTCAGATGGCGGCTGGCACAATCTTAATACAATCAGCATTTGAAAGCAGGCAGTTGACATTCCATTCGCGTGATTACCGACTGTATAGATTGATCCGAAAACATCATAACCAAGTCCCAGTCCTACTGGCTGTCTAGGGCGCGATCCATAGTTCTGGGAAGTACTCGACAGTCACAGGATCCTCTCCCTTCCACTCAATGTCCACGCTCGCTTTCCCGTCAACATCGACAAACAGCTCATAGGTCCCGGGGTACAGCACTTGGTCGCCATTCTCCTCCACGCGAAGGAACCGCCCCAGCTGCAGGATGATCTCAGCTTGCTTCTCCTCGCCGGGGCGAATGGCCTTGATTCGAGTGTACCCGGCAAGAGTCTTGAGTGGGTTCGGCTTCGGGCCTACCTCGCTGCGCATAAACAGCAGCGCGACGTAATCTGACTCGACATTGCCAATGTTCTTCACTTTGACTACAATCTTGATCATCCCTTGGTTGATGGCGTGCATCCAGGGCAGGTCGGCAATAAGCGACTTCACTTGAGCGACGTTGGGAGGAGCTGTCGTGAGCGCGTCGGCCCAGATGGCTTTCTTCTCGAGCGAGACCTGGAAGTCCGTGTAATGAAGACCGTGGCCGAATGGAGCTGGAGCCTTGCCTGTATACCACATGTGTGTCCGTCCCGGGTTGGTCCCGCTCTGCCTTGGCCGGAGGGTCATATCAGTGACTGCCACCTCATCCACGTACTTTGCCGGATACTGCGTGACCGGCAGCCGACCAGCAGGCGCCGCAACTCCGTACAATATGTCAAGTACCGCCTTTCCACCTGATTGTCCTGGGTACCCAGCCCAGAGGATAGATTTGACAGTCTTGCTTCCCAAGAGCTCCGTACCGTCAAGCTGGCCGGCGCCAAATTGAACAACAGTGATAGGCTTGTTGAGGCTGCTCAGCTTGCGGAGTATATCCAGCTGAGGCTCGGGCCACGTGATGTTCAGTCTGTCTCTATTCTCATCCTCGATGGTGTTGTCAATTCCTCCTATGAAGATTATCTCGTCAGCTTCCGTAGCCTTTTGGATGGCTTCGTCGAGCGTATCATCTGGGGCATTGATACCCGACCCCTTCGCCCAACTGTAATCGAGGCCCATCTCGTTTGCGGCTTGAAGTATGGAGATGATGTAGGGCGCTGGACCGGCATAGTTGCCCAACATCTGGATCGTTGCCTCTGCCCAGGGACCAATGATTGCGACCTTGCCGCTTCCCTTGTGCAGGGGAAGATGGTGGTCATGGTTCTTGATCAACACGATACCAGCAACTGCCACATCATAGGCGAGCTTCTGGGCCGTTTCGGTGTTGACATCCTTGAAAGTGAGCTTCCTCAGCTCCTGTTTGTCGGAAGGATCGAACCAGCCCACCGAAATCAGCGACGCCCACAGCCTAATCAAGGCCTTATCCATATCCGCCCCATTGATCAGGTCGTTATTCCATGCTTCAGTCAACGCAGTTATGTTCCCATCAGAGCACTCGAGGTCAACACCAGCCTTGAGGGAAACAGCGGCGGCAGCACCCAAAGAGTCTGTATACTTGTGATCCTTGAAAATATTATCCACGACACCACAGTCGGTGGAGATGTAGTGCTCATCGGCCTCCCAGCCCCAGTGCTCCCGGAGGATCTCCTCCATGAGATAGCTATTTGCGCAGGCGGGGGCGCCGTTGACAGAGTTGTAACTGCACATGAAGGCGCCGACATCCCGCTCGGCGCATGTCCGGAAGGGAGACAGGTAGAACTCGTTGAGATCCTGCGGGCCGATGATGGCGTTGAAGTTGTGCCTGGTGATGTTCCCGACAGCTTCGAAGTCGTTGGCTGCGAAATGCTTGCAGGTGGCCAGGACCTTTTTGTAGCCTCCGACTTTCCTCTCTAGCCCTGTGAGGAGAGCACGGGTGTAGCTCTGCAGATGGAAGGGATCCTCTCCCGGCGTCTCTTGTCCGCGGCCCCATCGAGGGTCCTTGAACGAGTTGATATTGGGCGTCTAGATTTTCGCACGCGATGTCATGTCAATTCCTTGCGCATCAGGGGATTATCGGCGACAAGCATGCTTACGTATAAGTCAAGGCCAACCCTTCCAGCAGCGCTGTAGGCTCTGGTCTCCGTGCTAATGACATCAGCAATCTCCGTCACCAGATCATCATCAAAGGCAGCTCCGATCAGAATGGGCTGGGGAAACGACGTGGCGCAATCCCACTCCCCCGATCCTGGAGAGTTGTAGTCGACTCCTGCAGTAGCCAGGCCGTGGAGTCCTTCAGACCACCAGTTGTACGGTTTGATGCCGAGTCTGGGAACACCAAGCGCCTTCTCAACGAGATTCCCAATCTTTTCTTCGGGCGTCCACAAAGATATCAGTGCAGCAGCTCGCTCTTTGGCAGACAAGCTTGTGTCGCAAACCCTGTTTGAGCACAGAGGTTCGCGGGTGCAGTCAGGGAAGTGGACTGATTTCTTCTCGGCGTCTCGTGGGTTGATGACATTCCAGATGCTTATTGAGACATGAGAGGAGCCAGTCCCAGCCTCTCCGCCGCAAGTCTGCTGGGGATCGCCCGGGCATTCCACGTAGCAAGAGGATTCTTCGGCCTTTGTATCTTTGATCTGGTTGCCACAAAAACACTGGCTATGGAGGCGTACAGATTAGCTCTCCATCTTATTCCGGTCTCTCAGAATTGGACACGACATACCTGCCCTTCTTCACGCCCGCATACTTGTACCCGAACCGTCCGCAGATGTCAGCGCACGGCTGCGGGGCGTTTCGGGGCAGCTCAATCTCAATGCCAGTGAGCGTGCGCGAGGAGTAGCTGGCATCCGCATAACATGCGTTGTAGCTTGTCTCTGCTTTGTAAGTCTGCGCCGGCCGGCATTGTCGGGTCAAGACCTGCTGGCTTGGGTAGTCGGCGAGGACTGAGCCGCTCAGGGCCAGGAGCAGAATGGCGCTAAATATGGTCATGCTTAGAGCGATTCCGACACTTGGTGGTTGGCCATTCGATAGGGATCTGCGGCTGGAGAGGGTAGAGTTGATTTCGCTGAGCTACTCAGCTTGAAGTTATGTGTATAATTGAATAATTGATGCGCTGGTTTACTTAGGAATGAAAATCAGTGATGTTTGATGTTACCTTCCTACCCAATGCCTACAAATCCCCCTCTCGGCTATTTAGAGGATCCACGGGCACCTCAATCATGAGATTATGGAATCGCAGTCGCAAATGCGGCGCCTCCATACTGTGAGATAAAGTCCCTACGATTGGGGGGTAAGTAATAGCTAGATATTTCTTGCCCGATGTCCCGTGATACTTCTAATGATGTTCTTTTGTAGATGATGCCTGCGTAAAACAACAGACAAACCACCTGCTCTACAACGCCTTGGGGCGAGTTGAAATTGCTGTGTTGATTGGCCAGGTCAGGGTGTTCATGCAGGTCTGACATTTTCACATTTAAAGCCACGATACCATCAAGTACTAAGAGTAACCTGGGTTCATCAATTTTGGGTAGGAAAAGCAGTCCAACTACTATTTTTGATCGTATCTCAAGTCTTTTGTTCGCGAAGAAGTGGTGCAGGGAGAGGACAAAAGTGAGTATAGGGTAAGAAGACTGGCTACTACCTGACTGAGTGCCTCGCCCGCTTTGCCATGGCGAAGAAGCCTCCGACAATTAGAGATGGCAAGGGGAAAACAAGGTAGCTTTCTCGAGGGAGACAATGTGCGTGATGAATCGATGGGATATTATCTGAATACTTTGGATTCCGTAATTCTATGAAAAACCAGGAACAATTGTGGGCAGTAAACAAACACCAGCGTTTCCGGAGAGATGCATTTCAAAACACGAGTCTCGCGAATGGGAGTTCACAAAGTCTTTGGATGATTTTAAGTACCTCGAACCATTCAAGGAAGACCTTTGTCAAGCGGCATTAAGTCTCACAAACTTGTCTACATACTCTGGCCGATGAGGCGAGTGTAATTGTGTCCTGTCTGGTACTTGCCCCGGCGCATCGGGTAAGAGCAGGTACCTCCCACAAACGAACAAGAGGTCCTTCCCCAACTCTAGATGCCCACACACCCTGTGACACGCCAAGCGCATGTACCTCCTCCCACAACATTGTACCCAAGGAAATCGCCAGACGGTGCTCAAAACGGTCAGGCCACGCGCTCCGTTCATCGAAAACTTGACCACGCAACTCAGACGAGACGCGTGTGCCGGTGCCAGCGCGATCCACTGAGCTCTGCGATCAGTAACCAGGCGTGGGGGAGCAGTGCTGAGTCACACGATGAGGAAAATAAAAAAGCGAGCTAACGGTGCAATCTGACCAATGAAAAATCAGAATCAGCCAGCAAGTACCTGAGAGCTTCAGCTACAAGCTGTGATTGTGAGCACTGCCTTATTGGGCCTAGCCCGGCGCCGAAACGGATTTTTTATTTTTGGCGGCGAGTGATCTGAAATGCCCACGCGCGCTGCTCTTTCGCCTTACTGATTGACTGCGCGTATAATAAACTCTCTCCGCCACCCCCCCGCAATCTTGCATTTCCCACTCCTCCCTCCCACTTGTGTACACACTACAACCCATCTACATTACATTGCATCATCACGAAACGCGCTCGCGTTCAACCATCAACAACTTCCATCACCGTTTTCTCTTCTCCAACTAATCCATCATGACTGGACGTAAGTCACACCCTCACCCCGCACTGGGACTCCCCGGCCGTTGACACAGGTCATCCTGAATCGCATCACGTACTGACTCTGGCTTCAACAGGCGGCAAGGGTGGCAAGGGCCTCGGCAAGGGCGGTGCCAAGCGTCACCGCAAGATTTTGCGTGACAACATCCAGGGTATCACCAAGCCCGCTATCCGACGTCTCGCTCGTCGTGGTGGTGTCAAGCGTATCTCTGCTAGTAAGTTTCACCTTTTCTGAGCATCTTCAATCCATCAACAGCTTGCTGACGCGTCTGCTCTACAGTGATCTACGAGGAGACCCGTGGTGTCCTGAAGACCTTCCTCGAGGGTGTCATCCGTGACGCCGTCACCTACACTGAGCACGCCAAGCGCAAGACCGTCACCTCCCTCGACGTTGTCTACGCTCTCAAGCGCCAGGGCCGCACCCTCTACGGTTTCGGTGGTTAAGCGCATCTCTCTTCTCATTAGAGGTGCTGGTGTGTTACGAGTCGCGATGTGTGTGACAGATGAGGTTTATTAGGCGTTAAGGGATACGGGCTTAGTCGGCGTCAGGGAAGACGACCAACGGAAATTAAACTACAATACCATCAATGATTATTTGCTCTTGAAACATCAACATATGCATTGTGCCTCTGCCTGCTAGTGAAAAATGTTTGCCAACGTGAAATGTGCTGTATTTGGGAACCTAGAATAACGCCAGTGGTATTGAATCGGTCTATGTAAAATGGTATCGCTCGCCCCGAATTATAGATATTTCCGCCCAGCCGCCGCCACCCTCGTCCTGAAGATGGGGCTCGTGACCTCCATGTTGGCCTGGTAGAACGGGCTCATGATGGCCTTGATCCAGTTCTCGTACACCTCGGTGAAGAACATCTTGACTGCCTCCTCGGTCGCGGGACTCGTGGGGTTCGCGCCAATCGCCGTCGATGATCGGGAGTTGGTGCCGCTGGGGGTGATGGGGTGGTGGAGGAGGAGGAACTTGACGTTGCCGGCCGTGACGAAGCATGAGATGTAGTTGTCGAAGAATTTGTCGATGCACTTGAGATACCTAGATGCAGGCGGGTCAGTATCTGTCTTCAATGGCTGCAGTAGAGCAGGGAAAGTTGGATGGAAGCTTACATTTGGCCATGTGACCATTGGACCTCCTCGACGATATCCAGGCTCGAGTGGAGGATGAACTGGTTCAGGTGCTTTACTTGGTCGGTGAAGCGAGACTGGCCGTCGCCGCCCTGCTTCGATGTGCCAAACTCATGCTCGAACAGCGGATTGTCCTGCGACCCGACAATGGCGAAGTAGTAGCTCATGGTGGCGCCCGGCGGATGTGCATTTGACGGCGTGACCTAGCGCGCAGTGCAGACCCGGCGGCTCTTCTCGTGCGTGTGTCCCCTTCGCTGTGGTGGTGAGGTGGTGCCGTCGCTGTCGTCGTCACGCGCTGCTCTGCTGTCAAGAACAATCCTACTCGCCGACCAGGGGGGTTGACTCTCGAATATGCGACCAAACCTCGAGTTGATGGGAGCTGACCCCACAGTGTGGGTGGGTAACTCTTGTGTGGTCGCTTTGTGAGACTGGCACCGGCGCTCGGGATATTCCGCTCCACCCCAAGCTTCGCATCAGCCAATGCCAAAAAGTTTGGAGCATCTCGCACCAGTCTCCAAAACCGAACCGCCTCCTCCCCCGAACCCTCAACGCCAGACAAGGAACGATGTTTGGCCCATTCCGAATCACAAACCCGCTGTCCGGCGGTCTCCTGTGGAAGATCCCCTGGCGGCTGTCCAAGTTCCAGAAGAGGCGGCACCGGGAGCGCCTCAGGGCCGTCGACGGCGTCGTTGCGACCATTGACGCCGCCCTCGCCAAGCAGGGCCAGGTGCTGCCGGCCGTGGAGCGGTGGAAGGCCGAGATGCCCACCGAGGCCGAGATGCTGCCCAAGGACAAGTACACCTTGTTTGACCGCAAGGCCAAGCGCTATCGAAAGGGCATCCACAGTATGTTGCTTCTAGTCGGGGAGAGAGGGATGATGCTGGGGCGATTGGATTCACTGACCGGGCTACGCAGAGCTTCCCAAGTGGACGAGAGTTTCGCAAAGAGTCAACCCCCCTGGTTTCTAGGCTGCGCAATTGGGGCGTTGGCTGTATAATCCGATCGACACGAGACCGACCACGGAGCTGGGCATGCATGGGGGATGGAGAGGCGTTTCGGCAGCTTTCACACGTACTGGGGCGACGAACTACCATGTACAACACTTTATTGTTTGACCTAACCCGCTCGGCGCTGGCGGGGATCGACTGTGGCATGAGAGAGGCGGAAATAGAATTCTGCACATTTGTATATGTATCACCACCACCAGGCAAAAAAACGACGGCTCATAGATAATGAATGGGCTGGATAAAATAGCAATTTTTCTTTTTTTCCAAATGTCAAGACCCAGAAACTACGTCGCTCGCACCATTCTTTTCCTCGCGGGTATCTATCGCAATCTTTTCTATCTCGTACATGGCGAGCCTTCTCTGATACAAGAACTACGCCCGGTGACCTCTTTGTGTTGTTGTCGTACTCTTCGAAGCCCGTTCTCCGATTATCCCCCACTCCGACGTAAACAATCTTAGCGTCTGGGCTCATCATCGTACTCGCTGCCAATCGCCCTACCCACGCCACCGCGCCCCTCGTCAAAGTCCTCGCGGTACTCGTCACGCACCTGGCCGCCAGACTTGCCGCGGCCGTACTGCCTGCCCTCCTCGAACCCGGGATCCAGGTCGGTCCGGATGATGCGCTCGTCCAGCTTGGTGCCGCCAATGTACTTCATGCAGTCGAGGGCGTCCTGGTGGGTGTAGTACTCGACGAAGCAGAAGCCGCAGGGCGTCTTGGCGAAGCGGTCGAGGCCCATGATCAGGCGCTTGATCTCGCCCACCTTGGAGAAGAGCTCGTAGACCTGCTCCTCCGTGGTGTAGAACGACAGGTTGCCCACGTAGAGGGTGGTGGCGTTGGCGAGGGGGTCGACGGTCGGCTCGGCTGGGGCGTCGCCATTGGCGTCGTCGTCACGGTGGTCGCGGCGGCGTTTGTTCTGTGGAAGGAAGTTGTGTTAGGCGCGAGCTTGGGATGGAACTGGATGTGGTGGGGATCTCACCTTGTTGTAGTATGCGCTGGGCCGGTCCAGGCGATCGACTGTGCTGTATGGTTCATTTGGCCGCATGTTGGCGGTTGTGCTGAAGCAGCCTGATATTCGAAAGCTTCTCTGGTGTGGTCAAGCCTAGGCGACTGATTGCGCTTCTGTTACTATCTGCGTGTTGGGCGCAGGCTACGGCTTGGCGTAAGCAGCAGGCGCGCAGAGTGGTGGATTAACCGGCGCAAGGGCGGCAGATGGCTATGTGTCGTTACGTAGCTGCGACGATCCGGAAAGACAATTGCTGAAAGTAAAGTTGAAGTTACAAGATTGAAGCAACTGGAGCTGGAGTGCAGAGTGGGTCCGCCCAGTGGAATGGCCCATGCAGGGGACGACGAGCCATGCAAGGTACTGGTACATTGCCTGTGGCTCCCGTGGCAGCCAAGGCGAAGGTGCATGTGGGTTTGAGGTGCTCTGCTGCCGTGTCCTGGGCTGTGTATTTCTTGGTCGCAGAAGCTTTATAGATTTGAGGAGGTACTTCTAGCTGAAAATATAACTCGATTTAATTTTTAATCTGTACAGCGCTTAGAAACTGCCCATTCGCCCGTTGGGCCCTTGCCTGACGCTGGCTGCCTGGACGGCAGAGACCCACGACTCCAAAGTCACTGTACTTTTGCCCCCAGCCAACACTTTTTTCCTGCACCTGCGCCAACCGACAAGCTTGTTCTCTGTTTTTGTTGCACTTAACAGCCGACTAACTGGTCGCTTTCCACCATTTCATCTTTTCTCTGGCTGCTTTGCCTCCTGCTTCATCCTCTCTCCAGCTTCACTTTCTAGGTCTAGGCAACAGCTCCGTATCTGGGGAGCTCTTATCCCGTCAGCTGCCAGACTCGTCCTGTCTCGGCCTCTCGATTTGTTACCACACGAAGCTTCCTTTCTCAGCCTCGATCCGACCGCCAGCCGAACGACACGCGCAATGCCCAAGGTCAAGAGCTATTCGGCCCCTTGGCTGGCCAAGAACGCGCCCGGCCACCAGCTCTTCGAACCCATCGCCGACCTGACCCGGCCCCAGGCTCTATCCACCAAGACACAGCACCAGCCCGGCCCGAGGAGAACAATCGCTCGTTGGGGCACACAGGTTTTTGTCGCCGTTGGCAAGGAGATCCGCTGGGGTGACCTCGCCTACATCAAAGAGCAGTGGACTGCCCGACATTCGAGGAACGGTGGCTATGGAGCTAGGATCAAGACAGAGGACTCTTTCGCGTCCGTCGAATCTGACGTGGATCTGGAGCACGCACCTGGCATGAGGGTGAGTGGGCGAGCCGGAAACTAGCACATCTGCTCTACCGTCTATTGATCCGTTGATTTGTGTATTCTGGACCCAGCTGCTGACAACAGGACTTGCAGACCATCAAAACGCGTTGTGCCGAAGACATTCGACAGCTCGTCATTTCCCCCAACTCCAACTATCTCGCCATCCTCACCGCATACACCGTCCACATCTGCGTACTACCCGATTCGTCACATCTTACCAGCGAGGACAATGGGCCGTTGAAGCCCAAGATGTTCACCCTCGGGCCTACCACCCACGTCACATCACGAGCACCTATCATGTCCGCGCTATGGCATCCTCTAGGAGTAAACGGCACCTGCCTTGTCACAGTCACCGCCGATGCGATTGTCCGCGTCTGGGAAATCGATGCCGCAAACCGATGGTCCTTCGACAACCCCACGACCTCCGTCGACTTGAAGAAGCTTGCGGACGGAACGAGCTTGGATCAGGATTTCTCAGCGTCCGTCGCGGCAACGAACAAGGGATTCTCGCCCGACTCCTTCGAGATGGAAGTGGCGGCCGCAAGCTTCTCGACTAAGGGATCGGGAGGCTGGGACGCCATGACACTCTGGGTAGCGATGCGAGAAGGCGACATCTATGCTCTGTGCCCTCTTCTGCCCCAGAAGTGGGCGCCTCCGCCGACACTGATTCCGTCATTGTCGGTTTCCATCGTCACAACTGTAGCCAGTATCGAAGACGACCCCGAGGTTTCCGACTACGAAAAACTCCTGGCACAACAGCAGCTCGAGTGGATGGGTGAGCTTGACGCTCAGGAACCTGCTATTTTGGAGGGGCCGCCCGGCGAACCGATGATCGAAGTCTACAACCGACCCTCGCGACCTGGTACCATTCCCAGACTACAAGGGCCTTTTGACTTAAATGCAGACCCAGAGACGGGCGACGATTTGGATACATCAATCACAGACATTGTGGTCATTGGAAAGAAGACGGAAACCGATGAATTGATGCTTGGGGAAGAGGAGGAATTGGAATTGGAAGAGCGAGACCGAGAGGGTGCCTCGCTTACTGCGGTCAGCCTCTTGTCTGCTAGTGGCCAGGTTCGAGTGTACCTAGATCTGGACGGTGTCCAAGCCCAATGGCTTCCCCCCAAGAGCAAGTCGAGGCTGGGGCGTTTACTGGCTGATTCAAGCTTATCGTCAGAACTCCTGGCTTTCCAGGCCATTGATACTATGAGCCCGGTTGAGGTCAACGAGGAAAGCTGGCCGGTCTTTAGCCAAGACGTCATGTCCCGCTACAACCTGTATGTTACACATCACGCGGGCATTGTCTTCCTCTCCCTGGCACCCTGGATATTCCGCCTCGAAAAGGAACTCGCGGGAGACTCGGAGGCGGGTACAGACTTCAGAATTGGCTTGGTGGTCAACTCACAATCGTCACGAGACCGGTTGTTCTCGCAGCCCACTTCAGATGCGGTTGTTCCTCTTGCGGCAGCCGTGGTTCTGCAGGATCCTGATGTCGGCTACTTTCTGCTCTCTGCCACCCCCTACGAGCCAATTGCGTTGACGTTCGACTCCCCCGAAACCGATCTCGTGCTCGTCAAGCTGGAGAGCAGCCCCGTACGCGAGCTCGAGGCGGCCCCCGCGCCCTTGGACTTCTACGAGCCTCGCCCCGTTTTCCAGCCTTCTCATGCCTTTGACCAGGCATCCCACCTACCGACGATGCTTGACCGCCTGCGCACGTCGCGTCACAAGACGCTCGTCAACCAAGAAGTGAGGCTAAGCCCCGTGACGCTTGGCATATTCACAGACACGCATAAGCTCCTTAGTGATGAGACTTACCGGCTGGGCGTGGCCGCGTCAGAAGTGTTCCGACGCTGCGAGGTCCTCCAAGCCGAGCTCCGCCAACAGGTGAATAAGGCGAACCAAGTGCGGAGCAAGATTGAGACTATTAGTGGAGCCAACCGCGACGATGGCGAGGGTGATAATGCAGCATATGAGCGAAGGATCGCCGAAGCGCAGGATCGACAGGACAGACTCACTAAGCGTGTCGAAGGGCTGCGCAAGATCATTGGCAAGGCGACGACGAGGGATCTAAGCGCCAAGGAGCGCGCTTTCTTCTCTGAGGTTAGAACGATGGAGGAGAGCTTATCGGAACGGACCTCTTCCGAAGGCGGTGATAGGGATAACCAGGCCAGGGCCTCGGGTGCATCTAAGCCGCTCTGGAAGCGATTGGAAGAGGCCAAGACCCTCCAGGACGAGCTGGTAGACGAGGTCGCGGCTCTCAAGAAGGCTGAAGGCGTGACGGACTCGGGCCGCTTGGGCACCACAGAACTCCAGATCCCGCAAGACATACGACGATCCAAGCTCCAGCAAGTTCAGGGTCTCCTGTCAAGAGAGACAGCCCTCGTCGAGGCTGTCAGGGCGAGACTAGAGAGGCTACAGACGGGCATCTGAAGGAGGATATAATGGGGGGGCGCCAAAGTAATATGAGTTAGCTGGTTATGGAGAAAGATCATCGCCTGGTGGAGATGAAGGAGATGCGAGGTAATGGCGGATTTATATGAATTCAGGAAGGTGGCAGACACCACGAGGAGGCCTGCCAGTATGTTTGATATATCACGGACAATTTAAAACAAGGCGGATAGCCTTTAGCCAGGGAATCCCTTCCAAAACTCCAAAGTGTGCACATCCGGCCCATCATCACGAGCCTCATTTCGCGGCTGCGCGCGCGGTTAAATCTCGCCCCGCTTTGCCGCACAGAGAACACCTCATCGATTCGCTGGCCCTTTTCTTTTCTTTTTACTATGTACATGCCAACGGTGTGGCGAATGTGGCGTATCTTACTCACACCACAAGCCTATATCACACGTGTTATATAAGACCAAATCCGGGCGCTTCTCTTTGGCGCCATTGCCGATCGCGGTAGAGTGAGGCGGACGACGGATGATCTCTCATTGGCAGGCTGAACAAGAAAGCCGAGTCGCGCTATTGGTTGCGCTGATGTAGCACAGAGCATCGCGACAGTCGATATTTCGAGAGTTGATACTCGTGGCTGGATACTGGCGGTCTGCAAGGCCTCAATGGACCAAGCAAGCAACTCCGTGGCATGATGGAGGGGAAACAAGATGCCGGATGGACTGCATACCTGATCCCTTATGAGCTAGCCAGCCATCAGGGGTCCACGATGGATCTGGCCGTGGGACTAGGAGGATCTACCAAATCGTGCTATGGAACTGCTGGGCTTCTTCGCCCTACTCTTTCTATGGGACAACTGGAGATCCGGCACAGATGAGAGCAGGGTTATGGCCCCTTCCGGCCAATCATCCTAATCCAATTGATCACTTGTACGCCGCATATCAGAATCTACCCGATTGCCCCGGGGGTGGGCGTGTCGCTTTGCTGTCCCGTCGGGATGCTTGATAGACTTACGCATGACATCGGGCTAGCTCTGCATGTTGCCTCATCAGCACGAACATTGTACTCTGCCCGTCGTTGGACCATGGAGATGGCATCCTTACCCCATTGCCGGCTCCCAGGGCCGGGTGCAACGTCTAGTTGCCTTTGGGCGTCACGATGGACAATGCACAATCCCGTACCCGGCCATGTCTCTGCCGCCTTATTGAGTATCACTCCTCGTCAGGCAGCTGTTTCTGGCTTGCTTGGCACCAGCACACCCCTCCCTATTCGGGGATGTTGTCCCTTTGAGTGTCTTAGCTGGCGGCTCGTTTTGGGAGATCGACATTGCGCATGGAACATAGGACAAATGTCGGGATTCCTTCATCAAAACTCGGAAGAGTTTGTCTCTATAAGAAGCATTGGACTCCCGTTGTTTGCACATGACTCTCACAGCTCACCAGACGCTCTTTCTTACCCCTTTACCATCCATCCCTTCAAAATAAACAAACAAACCATCATCACCATAGCCCCATTGCCTATTCTTGTACATCGTCACTCTCTGTAAGATTCGAAAGAGCTGAGAGGAGACCCCCTTTCTTGATCTCATGACCTTGACCCGCGTGAACGGCATCTCCCTTAAGGAAACTCCGACAAACGAGATCGATATGGCAGCATCTGCCCCCCTTTCTACGATTGTTCACGAACCTCTGATTAAGAGTATGACACTGCCCCCACGCTCCGCACCCCCGTGCTTATAGCTTGTATCAAACTGACCGTTGCTGTGGCTGCCAAAAAGGCAATTACGAAGTCGTCCTTGGTCACGATGTCACAGTGCTCACGCAGCTCGACACCCCTTACTGGACCGTCGTCGTCCTCTCCTCCACAGCCAACTCGCCCGTCCGCACCATCGTGACGACGGAGAAGAGCCTCGACCTCGCCGCCGCACTGGCTGCGGTGCACCGGCGGTCAGCACTTGAGGTGTCTCACTTCTACGTCGCCATGGGCAAGACCTATGACAGCCCCATCATACGACCGCTGCATAGGCAGAAGAGAAAGACGAGGCGTTACCGCAACGGTGTGTACATTGACGGTGTCCGCCAACTCTCAGAAGTGGAAGACGACGGCGACGACCTCGACGACGAAAACTACACGGACTCCAGCTCGGAATCCGAGGACGACGTCGAGCTGGGCCTTGACCTGTCAGACGAGAGCGAGGACGAAGACGGCCTGGAGCATATCAGGAAGCCGTCGCACCGCCGACGCCGTGAGACCAGGAACAACAACACAGGCGGCGGCATGGCTGGGCCGAGGACAGTCCCCTCCCGCCAGTCCACGTCTCCTCGCATGCCACCACCCGCAGCTCTCTCGCCAACTGCGACTGCACCAGCTGGCGATGGAACCATCCCCATGACCGCCCGTCCTCACCTGTTCTACGGCCAGCCCACAAGCATGACGGGCGTCTACCCCCCTCCCCATCCCCCTCCCCCTCCACAGGGAGGACACAAACCCGCCACCGTGCCCAACCATCTGGCTGCTGTCGTGGCCCCAAGCATGCCAGGGATCTATACTACCCATACCCAGAGTGCCGGCGGCCACCCTATCAACGTCTTCCAGCAACCAAAGGCCAGCATGCCCCCACCTCCTCCTCCTGCAGTCCCACCGCAGTTGAGGGCAAACTCCTTCTACCCCCCTACCGCCGGTCCTGCGGCAGCCTACACCAAGCAGAGGAGACCAGCAGCAGCAGCACCCGCTCCCCTGCCCCCTTCCTCCCCCGCGCCCAGGCCCGTGTCCATCAACATCCACTGGATCGGGCGCGGGAGCCTCCTGGTGACGGACACCTGCGCCCCCCTGCACGGCCGGATCCTCGAGAGGGCGATGCAGCTCGCGCGCCTCAAGAGCGGCGAGTTTGGCGGCGGCCTCTCGACCCCCGGCGAGCACAGCAGGATGATGGCGCTGCTCAGGCGGGTGCGGGCGGGCGACGTGGTGTACGAGGTGACGAGTCGGGTCGACGACCTCTCACCGCTGCTTGCGAGGATGGGCCCGCCCTCGCAGGTTGGCTTCCCGTGCTTCGAGGTGGAGATTGTCCTGCAGTCTGGCGACGGGGAGGACTAATGGGAGGGGGAGTTTGGATGGGCCTCCTAAGACTTGTGTCTTATTTTCTTTTTCTCTATAATTTATGTGTGTATCTTTGTTTGGGAGGACATCACTGGATGCTGGTAGGGGAAATGGGATAGAGGTGTTTCTGGTTCGAGGTACTACTTCTTTTCTCTTGTTTTTCCTGTGTTTTACTTTCTATATTTGTCTCACCTTGTTCCTCACCTCTTCTTCCACGATGCGATACGAATGGGTGGAAGACGTTGTCTGCGCTGTCTGGGGCGAGCGAGATCTGCCCCGACCTTGGAGCATGCAGCTGAGGCTACTGCAGGCATTATTCTTCCCCATTCTGAAAAGTTTCCTACTTTTTTTTTTCCTGGTTTTTCTTTTGGTACAGAAATTGTAATTGGATAGTTGCACAGGATGGTTTGGCGAGAAGCACGTAGCCGGTATCTTTTTTCCTTTTCTGTGTGCCGCCCTTCAGTATGTAGATCACGAATAATCAAATTGACGTCAACATTGGGTTGGAGAGCAAATCCGACTCGTCAAACAGGCCGCAAAAACGTGCATGTTGGCCGTACGAGAGGGGGGGACCAGGCCCGGTTTGGGTCTGCAGAAGTGTAAATCCAAATACGACCGTTGCAATCAGACTTGGCGGCACACACGCACACGGATGCCGGGATGGGAAACACGTTGGACACCTGTTCAACGTTGCAGTAAACCCTTTTTTTCATCAGCGGGAGTGTGCCATGCTTGTTGGCATGAGATCGCCGGGCTGGGGGGGGGGCTGCAACATTGGTTGAGTTTACTCATATCTCGTGAGTCTGGATATCTCATTGGTCCCTGGAGTATGCAGGATCAATGTCTCTCCCCCTAAGCGAAGATCTCGAAAAGTGAGGCTGGAGGAAAGGGAGGGGGAGCTGGCACGGGGTGGCATATCACACCAACTATCCTTGAGCCCGCCGTTCATGTACGAGACAGAGGCGTATCGGTGACGGATGAGGCCCAACGACCGACTATCATGTCTGTCTGAGCTGCATGACCAACGCATGTGCAGCACAACAGCATGAGTTGGCAAGTGCTCAATGGGAAGAAGGCACGGCGGGAGGCCGCTTGCGGACCGGTACGACGATGGAACGACACAGGATAAGGCGAGAGAAAATTGGTAGAGCGCTTGACTTTCACTTGTGAGACGATGATGCTACGGCGTCTGTGGTACAGCAGGAGAGGAGATTGCACTCGGTCGGGATGGGCGGAGGGCTGGACATTACCGACCAGCGCATATTGATATAGGTATCACGGCAGCGGACAACGGTAGATGCATACAGTAATTTCATGTATGTGCGAGACACGCACAAACGCCGCCATCCAACCATCCCTCTCTCCGCCTGCCGGGCGGAAGCAACACGGGATCGGGCAGCCAGCAGGGTCTTTTCTTTCCCACCGCCTTCTCCCCAAGCGAGATGTAGTGACTTGCATCAGACAGAAGACCCCTAAGCGAGGGGGTATGCATCCCTTGAAGCATCTCTCCTATGAATGGGTGAAATCGGCCGTTCGAGCGTTGGCATGTTGGGCATCCGAGCCAACAACACAACACAATACAAAGCACGGACGAGCACAGCATAGAGACAATGCGACGCTCAGACGGGCCGGTGTTAACCCAACCGCACAGCATCCGCATCACCTCCTCTTCGCCCGCTCCCCGACCTCATGCAGCACGGCAAACGCCCTGCTAATCTCCGTGAAGCTATCCCACAGAAGCCCTGCACGACCCATATTAGCATCTAGTAATCACGGGAGGCGACAATAGGAACCCATCCATTGTATGCATGCGGGCTCTCATGTGTCGCACTAGAATAAGAGAATAATAAGGAGGTCGGGATCCAAACTTACACAACGGAACGGTGGCCCAGGGCGCGTTAAACCCGACATAGTAGACCCAAAAGTACAGCATCTCCGGGCGGCTGTAGGAGACGCCCTCGGCCCAGTTGGTCAGGTAGTACAGCGCGACACCGTACAGGTGCGCGACGCACACGATGATCTGGCAGGTGTGGCGGAGCGCATGGCGGCGGGACACGATGGCCAGCACGGTCAGGAGGGAGAGGGGGCCCCAGACGAGCTGTCGAGAGTCAGATACATGATGGGATGTGAATTATCCCTTTGGATGAGGCGGATGGCTACTGGGGGGACTTGCCACTGTGATGGTCTCGACGCAGACGGTGAAGACATCGAGGGTGAGGTACCGCGAGTCGGAGAGCGTGTACTCCTTCCAGAGCTGGGCGAACAGCGTGTCCAGGCCGGCGATGTTGGCTCTATTGACGATGTAGTAGCCTATTGTTCATCTCTCCCTTGTCAGCCCTCTGGCGCGTAGTGAGCCGGGTCGGGGACTTTGGCCATGACACTCTTCTCAGCCTTCTCGTGTCGCTCACCTTCGAAGCAGATGTGTAGAAATGCACCTATAATTAAAATAAGCATGTGTGGGCCAGGATAGCCGATAGGCTAGAGGGCATGGGAAGGGGGTGAGGCCGCGTGGGGGGCGTCTGAACAAGATAAGAGGGAGGTCTGATCGGATCTTACAGAGAGCGAACCAGCCAGCCGCAAACTGGTCGATTGTGCGGCTCGTGTGTCGCCTGGCAAATACCACGGCTGGGATGATGGCGAGGGCTGCGAGGGCAGCAAAGGGGGCGAGGATCTGGAGCAGCGGCGTCGTGCTGGGGATGTAGTGAGGGATCACGACGGCCGGAGGGAAGTACGGATGGTGATGAGGGCCATGGTGTGCCTCGCCCGCGCTCGCTGAGGCTGTCATGGCGATCTGATCACGCAAGACGTATGTAGCTGGTCGGATGCGACGCTGGAGATGCTCCTGGTACAATGAATGATGCGATGATGAGAGTCCGCTAGCCAGGGCCATTCGTTAGTCCTCTTTGCCAGGGTCTTGCAGTGGGGAGCAGCAAATTTTGTGAAAATCCTCCGTACGTGTATAGCGCGAATCCACAGAGACTCTTCCTCTCCTTCTCTTCGTGCTCATTTCGACCCGGAGCCTTCCTTGACGAGGCCAGTAGCTCAAGCCATGTTATTAATATATGGCAAATTACCAGCGGTGGTAATTACTACTGGCGTAAACTACCGCTCGCCTTGTGGCCCACGGATCCATATCGACAGGGCTCTTAGGCCCGTCAATGGCCAGTCTTAGACAGCAAGGCGCAATCTGTCGGGCGTGCGCACTCATCCCAGCAAGAGAAGCAGCCTAACGAAGAGTCATTCAAGCCGAGCACCGAGGGCGAGGAAAGCTGTCGCGTGTGCCTCGATTGGATTGGTACTTACCCGAGCGGAGGAAGCCGTCTGATCGAACCTAAAATGCGTCGAGATGAGCATGTTGTTGTGCTAAATCACTAGCCCATTCACCGGGGAAATGTTACCATCGTCAAGCGAGTAGTAGTGTGCAGTGTGCCGTTGATTGACACCTGTATAATTGATATTTATGCCATGTCTGGCATGCCATCCGCGTAGGCCTGGCCCTGCCAGCTCCCCGTCTTTGCTCCCAATACTAATAAGTGAAAATGCCATCATCCCATGCCGTATAAACAAATCCCCTGGTATAAACAAATCTGAGCCATGTCGTAGTACAAAAACACCCCGTCATGATGTATCCAAAAATCCTTTCCGGGCTTCCCTGAGCCTGAACCAAATGAAGAAGACCATGATCGTAAACGAAAATGAGAGATAACAAGACTACTCCGTGTCCCAAGTAGTTGTCGATGAAAGAAAATGGGGTATTCGTTCCTGATGAATGACGGCCGAAAGAATTAAAGAAAATAGACCCAAATCCCAAGCCTGGTCCCCAATGTGCGATGATGAATCAATGTGTAAATCCCTGGAATGCCCAATTCCAATCCCAGTCCCAGTCCCAATCCTTGTTGTAGCGCAAAAGAGCACCCGGTTCTTCAAAAGCGTGCTTGCGCCGGAAAAATATGGAAGTGAAAAGCAATGCATGCTAAAAAAAAATCAAAAGTCGTAAATGAGAGCATAGGAAGCTCAAACCGTCACGTTCTGACACAACGTAGAACGAGGTCTGGTCAAGTTTCAGTTTCAGGGTTGCTTGCCCCTGAGCTGCTTCGCTTCATACCCTGCCACCATTTGTCGGAGCAATGTGCCTTCATCAGAGCTGACTGATCGAATCGCTCGCACGGGGAGAATCTCGCCGAGCTTCATGTCTTTTTCTGATAAGCCGCCCTTGGGTGCGCCTGGCCCTAGAAGCAGAAGGCCGACGCAGTGCTCAAATGGTGAGCGATCCAGGGATGCCGATCGTGTTTGGGTAAGAAACTGGGTTAGGGCGTAGCCGACCATACACGACCATAATAACACGGGGCGCATGGCCTCAAGGCTGGGCAGGACCCTGTTTACAGTTGGGGTCGACTCGGGAGAAGTAAGGCGGTGGCCCATTGCGAGGACAATGTTGCCCAGTTGGTGACTAAGGGCTCGCAAGAGGATGATGCAAAGGTCGACGGAGTGGCTGTCGGGAAGAAGGTCCTCGATGTATAGCAGAGCAGCCGATCGAAGAACGGCATTCATGAGATTCCTCTCGGGGTCGGTGGTCTCCGGCGTTAAGGGACTCGGGCTGTGCGCTCGGCCTCTGGTGATCACGTCCGGGTTCAGCTCTGAAACTCCCAAAGCCGCAAAGGCTTGGTCCGCCTGGGCGATATCGTCACGTAAAGATCTCGGGTACCGGGCGACTTGGTATTCCACTCGCAGGCAGTCCTCGGCGAAGCCTTGGAAGTCGAGGGCAAAGGAGGAATCCTTGTTGGATGCTTGTCTGGCGTGGACCACAGTTTGGGTGAACAGGGCAAGAGCCTGGAAAGAATCGATGTTAAGCTGGGATATCCGCGAGCCCTGTAGACAAGTGCGCATGTTGCTCGTGACCTCGGCGCGTAACTGGGCAGGGAGGCTGTCAGAGACCGAAGGGAAATACTTTTCAAACTCGAGATAGGGTGAAGTGCCAGTATAGACAGCACCCTTGACGTCAGCTCTGAGAAGAATCATGTTAGTACGCGGCGGTTATTGAAGAGCACGGATGAGATAGCTGGGTGGCCGTCAGCATGACGGGCAGGCCACATACTTGCGAATCTTGTTGAGGGTGCCGCCCCATTCAGGTTTGAGGCCACCAATACGATCGTGAAGGTCTCGAAGACCCTTCATCAGAATATGCCAATGTTGCTGCTGCCCCGTGAAAATCTAAAATGCAAACCAGGTCAGCAATCGATTGAGGTCGTTTTCTCTTGGGCATGTGTTGCATTTCAATGATCAGGGGCTAGTTTGATGACTTACACCGTCAATGGCCATAGCTGCGATGGATTCCATGACAACCGGCAGAGTCCGCCTCCCATCGTCGTCACCAGCCAGGATATTCCGGTTCATAGAGGCGCATACGTTGGCGATGGACGCGCCCAGCTCTTCCGACGAAACCTCGCGGCCCCGTGATGCGCCAGTCGCCAGCGAGGCCACCATGGCGATGGCGTCGTAAATGTGTGACTGAGGGGGTAGATTGCTTAGGTATTGGCTGGCGATCCGCTGGGTCAGCGACGGGACGCTGCCCACGCCTTGCGACGATGAAGTAGAGCCTTTGCGCCCGCCGTGTTCGTCGTCTACGGAAACGGGAGTGTTTGGCTCGTCAGGTCTGCCGTACCTGCTACCCCCAGCGTTCTTTATGGAATTCGGGGTGCTCGATCTCCCTGGAGAGGGCGAGCTTGCCGCTGGGGGAGTGATGGCAATGTCGAAGAAGTGCGGTCGGTCGCTGCCCTCGTACCCGGGCCTCCGTTCCATGGTTGACCCGCCCATGTCTACGTCGAAGGAGTCACCAATCTCCCCGTCGACCTCGAGGTCAGTGAAAAACTGGGATGCCTGGGCGATGTCGGCAGAGAAGCTCGAATCGGCGTGCTCGGCGGCAGCAGAAGTGGTACTGGCAGTGACAGTGGTAGTAGGTGTGGGAGTGACTGCAAAGGTTGGGGAGGAACCAGAAGCAGAGTCAGTTGCAATGGCCGATGGGATGGGAGTTGAAGTGGGCGTTGTCTCGGGAGAAGTAGAAGAAGCAGAAGAGGATGCGTCAGTAGCAAAGGCATTCACAAACCGGATGCCTTGGTGTTTGGACTTGGATATATACAAACCCTTGCGGGTCGACACCAGGGCCCCGTTATGAACGGTGGCGTTGAAGTGATCCATGGGTTCGGGTGTCTGTGCTCAATGCTGTCTTGATTGTTTGTTGTGCGGCAAAGCCTAGCAGACCAGAGTAAAGCAGCCAGGCCATCCGTCAAGCCCACGCTATCTGGCAACGAGGCTTTTCCCGACGTGGGTTGATGCCGTGAGGTCAGGGGGGTGGTGGGTGTATGGGACGAAAGGGCGAAAGCGGGGAGATGGAGAGGGGGGTTTACTCAAGCAACCCGGCAGGGGAGGGGTCTCATCCATGGCACACCTGTCCCGTGCTGGTCTGAGCGGGCTGGGCCTGGCTCGGATTTGAACTCCGTCGAGTGGGAGCGGGCGTGGGAGAGGGTCAAGAGGGTCTGGAGGAAGAGACGAGCCTGTCTAGTGCCAGTCTGGGGTCCGGCCCGCGGGTGGGCATTCACGTGTCGAAGTGTCGAAGGAAACGCTACCAGGTAATTGCAAGCAGCGCAGGGAGAGAGCGGTCTCGTCGCTGGGCCCAGACATGCGCCGTGGCGTTCGCTGCTGGTGGCCGCCGTGGGTTGGGTTGCGTGTCGTATCGAAGGTCCGGAAGAAGAGGCGGGCAGCAGGGAACAGAGCAGATGCCAGAAGTCAAGTGAGGGGACGTGGTGGAGAAGGTGCGTCCAAAGATCCAAATCGACAGCAGCGGTGGGGGTGCCTTCCATGGGTTTCTAATTGCGTACCAAGGTAGGTGCGGCCCAAGCGTTACAGTAGCGGTTGGTTCCAGGGGCCAGTGCGCTTTACAGGGAGCAGAGGGTCTGGCTACAAGCACTGAAGGCCCGGCGCCGTGCGTGACAGTGACGGGCAGGGACAGCACTCAATGTCGTCCATTGATCCATCATCCGGACTTCAATTGATCTCTCTTCTGCTCCACTGCGATCCCGATGCGCTTCATGATGGAGTGGTTGAGACGCATACCCGATCGTCCGAGACTGAGTCCTGGGCCGCCTTATCGTCGCATTCTGAGCGCATTGCAGCAATACGTAAATTATTACAGCGGGCATCATTCACAGGTAGGCCCTAAGACTGCCCTACAGACGGACAACTCTAGTGACCGACGCGCCCGAGGAGCCTGAGATCAAGGGCGACTCCCACCCAGCGACCCGAGTTCTTCGCCAAGGTCGGCATGGATCCCTAGAATTACATAGGCGCCCGGCTGCCCTGGACTCCCCCAAGCGAGCACCGGCCAGCGGCCAGGGCAGTGCTTGCAGCGAGCCTTCACCGTTTGCCAGGCTCCTTCGGTGGGAACAGTACCCTGACCACCCTGAACACCACGTGGAGCAGGCGATCTTCATCCATGATAATGGACCAGGTCACCTTCAACCCGTCCGCCGGGGCATCAATTTTGACAAATGGCTCTGCAATGATGGACTAGGACATCAGTTCGTGACCGCCTCGCTTGCGCAGCGATCTATTACTTCATTCGGCTGGCGGACATGACGCGAGACGTATGATAACCGCCCTTAACTCGCCCATGCGCCGACAATGCTCTGGACTGGGAACGGAACTCGCTATTCAGGTACACCGACCAACGCATAAATCAGATCAGGTAGGGGTAAGGAACAATAGAAAACCTCCTATTGTGTTGGTTCGAATCGGCATGGCATGCATCGAGGAGAGCCGAGAGATGAAGCTTCCATACCCCTGGAGCAGGGACCACGAGCCAGATACGAGCACAGATCGTGTTTGGATCTCGTCCGCTGCTGTGCCCAGCATCTCGCAGGGAGGTATTCGGAGGTCATGGCAAACAACATCTATCCGTACCAGATGCCCTCTGCCAAAATACTCCGACGTGCTTACACCGTCCGTATTCACGTCCACGAGGAGAGCTGAGTGAGCTTAAAGTATGGACGCGTGATGTGCATCTAATGCGCTCCCCACAGGGTGCATTGACAGTCGGCTTGAACAATGAGCTATTGTGCTATTGTTGTTGGTCGGTTCGTCCATCCTGTTCTGTTTGTTGGTGATGAGTCGATGGCCATGACCCTAAACCCACCGCCCACGAGACGAGGCAATTGCAACAAAAAGCCCTACGTATTGATAAAATATCTGCTTCTTTCGTGGCTGGCACTTGTGTCATTTGGGTCATTTGGGATGCAAGTCGAAGCAAGGATTATACCGAAACAATACCTCGCCGAAACACACCCTACAGTACGAACGGCACTCATCGCATCTTCCCCGGCGATCTAATGACCGGTCAGTCAAAGGGAAGGCTGCAATGCTCCCCAACGAAAATCCGAAGGACAGAAGGGGCGGATGGTCACGTAGCCATATCATACGCACACGCCCAGGCTGAGGAACACACATCTGGGTTACAAGCGCTTCTCCATGTTTTGGTTTTGCCACTGGCAAGGCGCTCGGATGGGGCCTAAACCTTTGCGCGACCGCAATTGCTTCACCTCTGAGGCCCAGCTCCCGCGTGCGAGTGGACATGCAGCAGTGGTGCCAAACGGTTGGCGGTATGAATGGGATCAAACCTCCCTCCAGCTCCTCCGCGCGATCCCCCTGTCGATGAACGGGGGTGTTGATCCTCCCCAACGGATGCTACTGCACACGCATCACAATCAATCGACCCAATGTCAATGCGGTCAACATTAATTTACATTCATTATTCAATTCGGCGGCGAAACGCTGCAGCCATCATGATACGCACGTCTGCGGCACGGTCATTGTAGCCCAAAGCACGTGGATGCCCCCCTTGATGTCAGGACGTCTCTGTATCAGGGGAGCACGTCTCTCGGGCTGTCTGCCGCTGCACCCTCGCAGATGACGGCGACCCGATTTGGTTCGAGCAGTGAGTATTAATAGCTCCCGACCAGAGATTTGACCGTTCGGCGAACTTTGGCATGCAGCCACAATGTCATAAATCTATGATGCTGGCCTTCACGTTGGTCTGCGGACTCCCATCTTGCAAGGTGAATGCCAAATCACCCGTCAAACAAGACATTCTGCCTGACCCAGCAGATTAATCTTGCTGATTATTTTGAATCCCCCCTGCTGGCAAGGCGGCTGTGCACCACTGTATGATCACCAGTGTATGATGTACATACGGTATCTGCACACGCCATGCTGACCACCTCGAAAATCCACGTATGGCGAGCAAGGAGGCAAAGTAGGGCTGATCACAAACAGACGCGAACAGGATCAGGAAAGAAAAATCTCATGGAAGACCAGGCAGCATCCCGATAGGACACAATACGGCCAATGACATATGCCATTTGGCACATAACACTGTCCGCCCCATCTTGGGCTGCTGTGCCCCGACCAACGGCGGCGCATCTTAGACAGGTTTGAAATTGGGAAAGGGGTGTCTTGAATTGGTTTATTGACAGCTTCTGCTCTCTCTCCTTGGTAAGGCTGAGCTCAAGTTACTCCGCCCGCGCTATCACAAAATGACTGACCACAGCACAAACCATAGCGCGCGGCAATCTCTTTTTTGCTTGACTCACTTCGTGCTATGGACCATGTCCCAGCAAAGCATCTCCAGAGGATTCATCTCCAGAGTAGGGGGCCGGTCCCATCCAATAGCACAGACCACCGCCGAATACCCTGTAAGCCTAAATGCCCAGAAACATGAGCATCCATGTAGCTGATCGTTTGGACCCATGCTAGGTTAAGCAAGTGCTTATTTCCCGCTCAGGCCAGCAAGCTAAGCAGCCACTCGCCTGATTCATTATATTCCGAGAGGTAGCCCAGCCTCACATACAGTCTGGAGTTGCCAGGCCAGGCCATTGAGGCTTGATCAAGAGGGACTATATTTAGGGCCATACTCCAAGCCGCATCTAATAGCTCCTCGATATGACCTCGCCTCGTCAGGAGACCAAGGCATGGTGTGGTGTATATCGATGCCCAGCCACAGTGACATGAGCAGCACGCAGCATCCCCTCTGTCATCGGGCGAGAGGTCATGTCATCATCGGGAGAAATGGCCGGAATGATCACAAACAAGCCTCACATGCATATTTGACCCATCCAGGACCAGAAAGATAACTCCTAGATGGTGATGATGATCAATAAAGCAGCATTGAGCTGACGTATGACGCGCGTACGTGGATGAGTTATTGGGAGCTTGAGAGCCCGTATTACGGCTGCCTTGCGAGAAGTACCCAAATGCCAGCGCATCATTTCCATCTGTAAGAAGCCAGTGCTGTACGAGCATCGAGCCATATCACCTGCATACCTTACAGTTGATGCATCCATGCCAGAGTCCAATATCTGGGTATCATCCTCGCATATCTCTGTACACCATAGACCAAGACGGTTATGTAAGGAATACGGCGCAAGATGCCGCCGGCTTTGAACAAGGCGAGGCAGATTTACTCGCGATTCCAAGGCTAGTAAACTCTAGAGATATCATCACAGCCTCGAGAGAGAAGGGGCTAAGCATACCGGTCTAGAAATCAAATTCGTTGAGCCATCGTTGACTCCTACAAGTCTCACAATGAAGACTGGTTGGTGTGCCTCAAAAAATTCATTAAAGCAGTGACATTGGGGCATAGATTGCGAACTTGAAGCGAGATGAATTGGGCACACCGCCCTGATTGCAAATTAATTACACAATATATTATATTAACGGCCAGAAGCTATTATTCCCGACAATCTGGATGACCACAGATTAGGAAATCACCCAGCCCCTGGCCTTATTGGCGGTCTGAACCAACTCGCGGGAGGGCATTCGGAACAAGACCGTCTGCTTCCGGCTCGACCAGACCGACTCCAACACGCAGCAGCAATCACCCATCGGCCCCGATCACGCATCTGCCATGTGGGTGAAAATTTCTCTAGCGCCAGCGACAGGCTTTCGATATAGCAGAATCTCGCTTATGGTCCCATTCGAGGCCTGCAATGCTCGATCCGCCTCCAGGTCCGGCCCGTTGGATTCGGCCTTTGAACCTCCGTCCGTCGCCCTGCCGCCTCCCCGGGCTCATCAGACTTCTCCCGCACGCTCGCGCGCGCGCCAAATAAACGTATTATGATTGATCTGAGCTTAATTAAGCTAGGCGCTTCCATCGGACGAAAAAATCGGACGATAATGCGCAGACGGACCACACAGAACGCCCCGAAATGCAATCCCGCCCACAGGGCCACCGACGGACGTCTCACCATGGCACCGGCGCGTCGGGATTTACATACCTAGTATCTGCAGTGAGGCCCCTGGATGAAATTTGAGATGGGCCATGGCTGCTCAGTAGGTATGGGAACCACGAGGGGGCTAGGAATAGGCTTGCTCGAGTACGCAGGGGGAGGGGGGTGAGCAGCAGAGTGAGTTGAGAAAAAGAAGGTGAACTCAGCCCGTTCTTCTACTTGATACGAACTAATTTGGGACCCCATGATGGCTTAATATCGCCCTCGTGCCTCGACTAGGTAGCACTTGGGTGACCGAGTTGGGCATTCCGTTGGACTCTTCTATTCTCCTTCTGAAATATTCTACTCTGTTTGGGAGGATGCGCTCCCTGGTTTTCAATCTTGTGATAGAGGCAGGAGAGTGAGTGCACGGCGAGCTTGTGGGATGCCGCTCCTTGGTCGATGTGGGATGCCGCTTGATCGGCCGATGCCTGTCCTGTCCTGTCTGCACTTTGATTCCATTCCCTTATTGGAATCGACCGAACGCGTTTAATTATTTCCGTAGTTCTGCAGCAACGAGCTTGATCAATCACTGTAGATCGCATTCACAAAGAGCCCTGAGTTATTCCACCCCGAGCCCCCTGCTCTCCAGTTGAATCGATCTGCGTGGCCTGAGCGTTAGACTCGCCACGAGGGGGCGGGACTCCTGTATCCCTCTTGATGCCTGACAAGCTTCTCTCTTGCGAGGGCCTGGGCGCGGCAGTGAACAGCGGGAAGCTCGTCGGGACGGGTCGGGATCCATTCACCGTCTTGTCTCCTGCTTCTACCAGCATTCCCTCGTCGACTAGACTCACCAACTAGCCATATGGCGGCCTATGATGCCAAATAGGGCATGGATGACTCTGTCTCGAGCTCGCACTGACGTGGGTGGCTGTCCCGGGGCGGAGGTTCGGCACTCAAAAGTGAGTTCACAGACATACCAGCGCGGCGAATCAATGTTTTAGGTGTCTTCAGTCGAGTCATAGCGACATAAGCAAAGTCCTTCCATCATCAACAGCCTCAATAGACTAATTTATATTGATTAAAGATTGTCGGGATAGCTCTGCGTATCCTAGCTAAAAGTGGTATTAATAGGCATTCTTGCTTGCCCGTGATGAATACTTGGTATAGACGATGAAGAAACAGGCATGGCCATGACAGCGGACCCAAGAACGGCATATGAAGAATCACATAGTCAAAACGTGCTCCCCAAACCTCGTCACAGCTTCAGACGTCACCCCAGCTCAGTCCGTCTTGACCTGGGGCTTGTTCTTCCGCATCCAAATCTCCCCGATGGCGTCCCCCTTCTCCGCAACACACACCCAGTCCCCAATCCCAAACTCCTCGGGAGCTTGCCTCACGCCCCGTCCGCCGCCTCCAATGATCAGATTGCCAGGACGGTACGTCTTGTCATCCTCCATTCGCCGGATCACGCTTCCGTGAACCCGCACGTTGTCTGGCACGTCACGCACCTCGCCCCGAGGGAGTGGCCACCGGATGGGCTCCCACGACCCGTCCGACCGCAGGTCCATGCGGGCAAAGGGCAGCCACTCCATGAACTTCCACGCCGTGACTGCCACGAAGCCCAGCCCGCTTTCGTAGCAGAGCGAGTCGTGGATCCGCGACGTGTGAGCCTTGGACATGACGCCCTTGAACATCTTCTCGTCATCGTCGTCTGAATCCTCATCGTCGTCGTCATCATCATCATCTTCATCATCCTCGCAGCAACCCCCCTTCTCCTTGTCCAGTGGCGCGCCGAACTCCTTCGACGCCTGGAGAGGCGAGTCAGGGAACGTGGGAGTTATCGGTTCCCCGGTGCCATTCTCCTGGAGCCGGATGTCAGGCACGTTCTGCCTCTGCGACTTCTTCTGCTGCTTCAGCGACGAGTTCAGCCGGCTGGGATTATGACCATCCCACTCCGCGTGGCACGAGCATCCCATCTCAGCCACCTTGTCCGGGTCCAGGGGCAGGCCCGCGCGCATGGCCTCGCGGACGATCCACGCAAGAGGCACGTGGCTCGCGCTCTTCCTGTCCTCGAGCATCTCCCAGCCGCCGCCCACGTCGCCGTGCCCGCCCGCGAACCAGACCTCGTCAATGTCCTGGCCGTCCTCGTCCCAGTCCGGGTCGAGCTCGGACGGCGAGATGCCCGACATCTCAGACATGGCGTCCGCGCTGCGGTCTCGCCTCTGCCGGGCCGCCTGGCGGCCGACGGACGTGCCTCGAAGACGGGAGGTTGAGCGCTTGCGGTACGGAGCAAACTCGCAGTCATGCTCGTGCGGCTTCTCTCCAGGACGTTTGGCGCCCGGGGCGAGGAACTCGCTCCTGCGCCGTCCACGTTCGTCCTCGGGCGGCTCGGCAGTTCCATTCATCTCGCCTGGCTTGGGTGCAGCTGGTCCCTCGGCATGCTTGTGCTTGCTATGATCTCCATTGCGAGAATGGAGGCCGCGGGAATGAGGGTTAAACTGATCGATGAAGTTCCCCAAGTGCCGGTGGCGATGAAGCTTGGCCTTGGGGTTGCCCTGATACATGAGATCCTGCCTGAACTTGGCCCGCCGCTCGTCGATACTGACCGCGTGCCGGATCACCTTGGCGCTGCTGCGCGCCGTGTAGGGGAACTTGCTGCGCTGCATCCACGCCGCCTCGAAGCGCGGGACCGAGTTGACCGTGTCGAAGAGGCCGAGGAACTTGATGCGCCCGACGGGCCGCGAGAAGGTCTCGCGGAAGCCCTTCATGAACTCGTACATCTTGCGCTTCTTGGCCAGCGCCTCGGCCTTTTCCTCCTCGGACCCGGACACCTCCTTGCGGCACTGCCACTCGGCAAAGGCCTTCCAGGCGAACTTGACCATCTCCTCGTTGCCGTGGGAGAGGAGCCCGATGTAGTCGAGCATCTCGGCAAGGAACCGGGCGATGTAGGAGCCGCGGCTGAAGCCGAACATGTAGATCTCGTCGCCGGGGTTGTAGAAGCGCATCAGGAAGCGGTAACCGCCCACGACGTGCTGGTCGAACGATGATCCGATGGCCGAGTCTTTGGCCTTGGTGTACCATGAGCTCAGTCGTGAGCGGAGGCTGGTGTGCGAGAGTGACCCTGATACTACATAGGTGCCGATGCCAGCTACATTGAAGGTACTGTCAGCAATTAATCCCAACGATCGTACATCAGTCTGTCCTTACGTTGATAGTAATGATACTGGTCACCGGCGGTGCGGTCCAGCATGCGGAAGATCTTCAAGATATTGCTGTCGCTGTCATCACCGTGGAATTTGTTCCCCGTCCCGTCGAAGCACAGAACCAGCTTCCTCGGCGCCCTCGTCCGTGCGACGTAGCCGGCATTCGAGCTCTTCATAGCAGCCGCATTCTCGGCCAGCAGGCTGCCCTCGACGTCGGCTACCTTCTCTGATTGCCTGGCATTCTGCGCAGACTTTGGATCGAGCCAGTTCTTCTCCATGGTGCCAGGGGTAAACTCTCTCCCCGAGTCCAGGGCAGGCAGTATTAGGGGAGGTGAGATGGAAAGTTCGGTGAGCCTCAGTGGAGGGGATATAGCTGGACGGTGATTGAGAGACAGCAAACTTCCCAAAGGCGGGCTAGCCTCAGATCCTTGCGTATGTATGTCTCTGAGCTACAGGACAAGAAGGAGGCGAGAGCGAAAAGGTGCTGCTGGGTGAGTGAGATGTGTTCGTCCGTATTTACAACACCAGGAAGATCCCACCCCGGCCATAGGTCGATCCCGCCATTTCCCCTCTTCCTAATCCACGGGCCGTGATTCGACCAGTGCATTACAGACTGCAGAGTGAGATCATCAGTCTGGTCGTGTTGTACTGCGTCTGTGGCGCTCACTTGTGTCTCCCTCGCCCGCTCCCCTCCACCCCAAATCTCAAGTGTCCAGCCCCCGGATGGAGAAGAAGCAAGCCGAAGCGCGCGACCGCCCGAGCTATTCCTCATAGGTTTAGCATCTTGGCCGGTAAGCTGCTGAGACCCATGACGTGTCGGCCAATGAGGCAGGGGGGAGCTGTGCAGGCTTGCTCTAGCTGGGCAAATGTCTCGGATTCATGTGAAGGGGACTGGAATGGGATTGGAAAGGGTCTTGACACTAAGCAAATTACTGCAAAGGTTGCCTTAGTTAGCTTTGAGCTGGCGGTAGTGGCCGCGGTGGAGAGGATCTTCCTGGACCAATTTGGACCATTTCGGCAATCATTTCACCACTCTGCATGTCACTGGGGAGCTGAAAGATCCCTTTCGGGACTGTGAGTGGCTGGAAGGGGCATCAGACCAACGTAAGAGGCGGTGCGTGAGGAGTGTACACCACTCTGCATGTACATACCTTTGGAGCAGACTTGTGCATATTATGCCCGTGTACATGGATGTGTGCTTATGAATTGAAGTAGGCGAGACAGACGGAGATATGAAAGACAGGCCCGAAGTGAAGGGAACCAATGATTTCTGGAATAGCTTCAGTATCGAAATACTGAGCGACAAACGGCATCCACCACACTCCACCCCTTTCACCAGGTGTCTCTAACACAGCACATCCAATAAATTGACTCCGTAACCCGTATCCGCACATCCATTTCAAATCATCACGCTGACTTGGGTGGATGGCTCCAGCGTCATGATCTTGTCCACCAGCGGTTTTGCTTTTCCCTCTCCACTCTCACCGCACACCAGAGCGGCGATTCCCTTCCCGCCCGCAGCAAGGCCGCGGCTACGGAGCTACTAATGCACGTACCGGATGGTAGTGTGTGGGTGGCCCAACTACCGGGAGGATCACTATCACTATGTAGGAATAGGCAGCCCTATTGGCGAGAAGTGGACAAGATGCTCCGGTTTTTGTTCTGGCCAATGTACATATGTTTTTGATTAACCCCGGTTGACTCGGGTGCTCACCGATTCTCAGGCTCTAGCACCCTACTCCGTACTCAGGTTATCTTCTATATTGCTCATTATTTTTTGCCATATTTTCTTGCTAAATACTAATTCGTGATATTCTTTCTACCATGCCGTATTATGGTGGTTTGGGCAGTTCCTCCCACATCAGGGATCCAATGCCCTCACCAGCTAACAGGTTCTTCATTGCTATAAATGTCTATAGCTGGTTAGCCAAGAGGGCTACCGGAATGGTACTTTTGGAATTGATTCAGGCCTCATCACGCGGGGGTGAGCTGAGGCAAGTAACGTGTTCTAGAAAGTCGATAGTCAAGAGAAATTGTAGCATCCATATTGCTCTTTTGATCAGCCAGTTACTCTCTTCATAGTAAATCTGGTTGCATTCTATTCGAATCAACCCTGCTTCGTCAAGATTTTGGTAGCGTAGCTTGCGTAGGCAAATTCTAGGAACTCAGCTAACTACCATTCAATGTCTCGATGCAGGGGCATGCCCTTATTCCACGCCACCTTAAACAGCTCGCTCCACACTATTCGATCTGATACCTTTGTGGATGTTTCCATCTCAGTCTTAACTGCCAATCCCCGAACGTACAGGCCTCCACAAGTCCAACAAGTTTCCAACGACAAGGCCTGTCGCCCTTGAACCCACAAGGTCTCAACACAATATTATGGAAGCAGCTGGGTACTGTGACGAGATGGTCTCCCATAGCTATGCTTCCATTTCTTAGAAATCCTATTCCTCCGTTTGTACTCAGGTCCGGGTCGTGAATGTGTACTATTGTCCCAGTAGTAGCTCTATTCCGTATGTCTTGAAAGAGGAGCTTTTTTACCTCATCAGGAATAAATACTTCCTCACCTAAATCTGGAACACGACATTCGGCACCTGGATAAATTTGAACCTCTTCTACCCCAGATGCAAGCGCGACAGTTTCCTCATAGCTAGGGTTTAGACCCATCATAATGTGAGGCAATGGAATTTCATCGAGATCGGCTATGGAGCATACATTGGCAACAGGGACGCGATATCCCCGGACATCAATAACCTTTCCCTCCTCGAGAAAGGAGAAGGCGTCACTATCAGCGAATAAGGGGCGTCCTATGCTCTTCCGATAGGCAAATTCCCATGCCGGCGCATGCACCTCCCTGGACCAGTTAGGCACCCATGAGGGCATGGCTGGGTCTTCGTCTTCGCCGCAGCTCGCCGCTTCGAGAAAGGATAAACTTTTTGCTTTCTCTGCTAGGTAGCGGGCAAGCTTGGTAAAAAATTCGACCCGAGAGAGCCGAGGTCCCTGCTCTGCCAGTTCCCATCCGATTGCAAATCGAGAATCTCTAATGATGTAGTTCGATCGGCTCATGACTCAGTACCTCGCTCTGGTTTCGAAGAATAGCATTCCAAAACCGATCACGGTTGCAAGAATGCTCAACCAAATCTCTTTGAGAAGAGCGTCATAAAAATTTGAAATTCCAAGCATTCCGAGCATTGATATTGAGCCGACGAAACTGGAAATGTTCACTAGTTTGACATGCTTCCGGGGTTGAACACCCGCCACGATTCCGAGTACGGCGTATAAGCGATCTTCATTGTCCCGACACTTGAAACTCCCAGAAGTTCTTAGTAGGATATTGCATAGATCCCTCGCAAAATCTTCGACTTCGAGTACCATGGTATAGAAGCCATGGAGTGCTTTGTCGGCCTTAAAATCGTACCGGAACCTTCTTATCAGATCTAGGAAGTACACAACATGTATGCTGTCCTTTTCGAAAGATAGACCTCCAGGATATATCGCAGGCATATCAGAGAACCAAGCGTCAAAGTCGTCGTAGCTGCACGTGCTGTGGCCACATTGGATTCTAACATTACCAGTTGCTAGGGCCACTTCCTGGACAACCCATAGCCTCTGCCACCATCCCCTTTCCACAATATGACGGAGGCCCGCTTATGACTTCTCATAAGGTTTCGTATATCCAATCGCTCGAAAACAACGGGATATCCCCCAAAGCGATCCCCGAATACAAGTGAAGGCTAACTCGATCTGTTCCTGATGTGCACAAATGACGCCCTTGTCGCCACAGGACTGGCCATTTTGGTAATGATGATAACCTCCAAGCCATATCAAAACCATATATGCGTTGGCGTATATCCAGTCCATCTTTTGGACCTGCACGAGCTTCTCAGCCTCGTTTTTCTGGTCGATGCATAGAGCATCAATCCAGAGAATACGAACGCCCTTACTCCTTCGCAGATGCCGCAACGCATTCTCCAGATTGCGTGTGACATAAAGAGCCTCGAATTTGGATAGAGATACGTTCTCTTTCCGGGTTCTCCAACCAATTGTCCGTAAGTTCCATATCTTGGTCTCCAGAATCTCTTGTATTAGCCTGAATGACGTTTGACAAATCCATGCCGAGTTGACGGCAGGAACCAAGCATGTAGCAGCACGGGAGATAGATGTGGGAATGAAAAAGGGAACCCAGGCTGGCTCGACAAATGGCATAATCCGCCAAAGCAGGCAAGCAAATGGAAAAGCGAGGAAAATGCAGAAGAGCACAGGATGGCTGCTTTCGAGCTGCATGGCCAGCCTATACACACTACAAACACGCTCAACTAATCGGGGACCGCGAGGGTTCGATACTCTTCTTGGTGGCGCATCAAGCCGCGCAACATGGATCGGCTTGGCATCTGTTTCGTCGCCCCATTCGTAAGAGATTGCTTCATATTTGATTCGTATGGAACTGTCTCGTATTTCCAAAGCGCACTGAATATCGTCGGCAAAGTCTCCAGGGAAGAGATGGACTATTCGATACTCGGTTGAAGAAAGAGGCTGATACAGCTCTTGTCGTAGCAAGGGCTGCTCGTCTGATAGTTCAGCCATTGCTAAGTTGAGAACCTCTTAAGGGAGATTTTTTGCTATTGTCGGCTGCCGGTTTGTCAAATATATATTGCAAAAGGCTATGGATGGTGGCAGTGCACATGTAGGCGTTAGGGCGGAGCTGACAGAATCACCAACGGGTGGCATTTTTGCATGATGACTGGGAGCCCAACTCAATGTGCATTTCTAGATATCGGGCTTCTTGCGAGGCGCAATACTCATCAAGTGGAACTCTTTCGCTCTGGTTTGGGGATATGTGTATTCTTGTCTTGGCTCAGAGATCCACCACACAATGGTGACCAGGTCCTAGCTGTTCAATTCAGCTTATTTAAGCTCTCTAGGTTTGCTTTCCTGGATGTATTGAGCCAAGGCGCCCAGCTTGCCCGGTTGATGACATTACACAGTTTAGACTCATCAAGGTTTTACTACATATTATATATCCCCAACTAAGCTAGCCAAATAACGAACGCAAATTCCTCGACTGCATAATGTCAATCCAATGAATAGGATATTGACCAGAAACATCTGCATCATAGGCTGCCCAGATAGCCTTGACCAGTTCCTTGGCCACGATAATAGGGTTCGGCGGTAACGTATATTCAAAAATATCAAGGCGTTCAAGCACGAAATTCCGGGCCTCTTCAACCCCAAACGCAGAGTGCATCAACAAATTCTCTGACGAAGACGTGTTTTCTGATCCAAAGCCACATAAATGAGACATGTACTCCGATATTTCGCAATCCTCGTGGTCAAGCGAAGTCCGGCCATGGTGTGAAGGCTCGTTTCTGGGTTGTGCGAGGTTGTCCTCGGAATTGAGGATCGGAAGGTTTAGCTTGAGCCCTGTGCTTGCGGATATATACAGTGCAGGTTGCATCATTCGGCTCCCGGAGTTGGGGGGAATGTCCTTGAGAGTTTCTATGAGACGGAGGCTGAGAGCGACTATCCATGTATCGAGCGAAGCCCGTGCATTTCTAGCGGGCCATGAGTCTCGAGGCAAACGGCGAGCGGCGAGATCAGGGAAGGTTTGATATAGATGCACCAGTGAGGCTAACCGGTATGCTTCTGCTAAGCTCACAAGGTGTGCTCTTGGCGTTCTTTGGTCACCGGTCTCACCAAGATCCGTTTCAGCAGGTGTCTCCATTGCTAATACCTGTTCCTCAATGCTATGTGCTTCCTCGATCTGTTTTAGCGCATTTTGCAAATACTCCGTAGTTGTTCTAGGTTGCTGAGAACCACGGCGAAACGTTTGGCACAGTGTTACTGCCCGAGCAAACAGCCGGTATGATGCTGTCGATATTCCGGTCCAGGGATGCGGAGTACCCGTATCTTCAACCTTCTCGTCCTGGGGTATATCGCCGTATCCCACCATAGCTAGAAGCATATCGCAATACACCAGACTTTTGTCAAAATAGGACAGGACTTGTTTGTTTTCGGCGCTCAAAGGTAAACCCCGGGCGTTGATCCGGTTCATCAATGCCCGTGCCTCTCTCAAAAAGGGGACGCCCAAGTACGTCGCCTCGGTCCAGCAGACTGAAGTGCCCAGACAGAGTAGGGAAAAGAGCAAGCTGACGGGGATATTTTCAAGCTGTGGTGTTGAATGGATTACGCTCAACTCCCGATTGACTGTCGAAGTAGCATCCTTGAGTAAACGCAGGGAGGTTTGTTTCATCTCTGGCGATGTCGCAGTCATCAGGGCCGCTGACATGCTCTGGAGACAATTTGATACTGTTTCGGACTGCTGCCAGAGGTTCAATGCCAGTGACCTATTCAGGTTCAAGTGTGAGTCGTAACCCGACCATACGGCGCAGACCCGCTCAAACCAATGTGTGATTAAAATAGAAGGCGTGTCTATGAGAGACGGGAAGATGACAGCGCTGGCCGTGTCCGCTGGTTGCTGATTCATGTACGTCCATCCGCCGGCGGCATTATCCCTGATGAGATTCCCAGAATACACATGGGATCTTGATAGTGGTACAATTTCAAGCTGTGATGAAAGATCCGGGTCGGTACCAATGAAATCAGGTATATCATCATCCAGCAGAGTAACCTCAGTGGCATCGTTTCCAAAGCAATATAGATTGTCATCGCTGCCGTCATAATTATCCTCCAATGCCCTTAGAGATGCCAATGCAGCCTGCCACTCGGGTTCGGGTACGGTATCGTGTATAACAACATTTCCCTTCGGTTGGGGCGGGCCGTTCAGCGCTGGCGAGCGAGGTCGTATTGCCACCGGATGGCTAGATATTGGGATTGGTTTCTGGTTCTGTGCTGGGTTTGCCGGCCTTGCGGGCTTCGTATCTTTTCGTCTTTTGCGTACAGCTGTCTCGTATTTGTAGGACCATCGTAATTGCTGTTGGTAGCCGCCGCACTTGCTTCCTTTACTCTGGCACATTTGGCAAAAGGGCTTCGTCTCGTCGCATTTCAACTTGAGGTATCCCAGTTAGCATAGTTCCGTTGGAGCGAGATTGGGAGGAGGATATACATGTTTCTCTTTACAAGTCACACATCCTGACCGCGACCGCGACTTGGGCTTTGTCGGCCTGGGCGTTGGCCCATCATGGCCTACGCTTTGGCCAGGCGTTTGCGGGGATCTCGGTTTCGGCTTGTCGGCGGAAATCGTGGACATGGTCGGCCGGTTCGTCCACGTGTGCCTCGAGTATGGCGAAGGCTCGCAGGAGAGGGGCGGGAAGTCGTCAGGCAAGCGATCTTTAGCCAGCGGTGGCGGCAGCGAGGATGGGCGAATGAATGGATGAATGAAGAAAGAGGGAAGAGAAGACTAACGACTGCATCGCCGAGAGATAAGGAAATTATCGATAGCATCTATCGACAATCTCATTTATGTACCCCACCCAGATGTTATGCGGAGACATGGAAGTCGGTCAGATGCAAGTCGGTCCATATATCCCCAACATCTATCCAATCCCGCTCGTTTTGAGTTTCCACAAACTCGTTTGTAAGCAGACTTCTGCATTTAATTGGTTGATATAATCCGGTTCACCTCCGCCACGGGTATTTATGGGTTTAAACTGGATATCTCGAGCATCTCAACTTACCCTACACCAAGTTTCGTTTCCTCACCTCTTTGATCTGATGGATTTTGGTCATCATTAACCGGTATGGTCGGGTAGAACTCAAGCTAAGATGAGACTAAAGAGGCTTGGATTTGGCGCTCAGATTAAATATCATTGCTATAGTTACTTGCTTCACGTAGTTTTTGGCGCAGAAAAAGCAGGAACTCGTCGTTACACGTACTTTGGCATGTCCTAGACAGCAACTTTCAACAATACGTGACATAATTCAAGCAAATGCCAACTGCCCAAAATCTTTTTCTTTATGACTTCAAGTTATTTCATTTAATCATATCAAGCGTGGGACATCGCATCTCTTCCTGGGGGTGCTGCTGGATCAATAATAGGCTAAACAAAAGACCCGACATGAAGCTGCCGATATTTCCGAAAATCTTTCCGAGCCCACTTTAGCCTAGAGTCGAGCAGTATTCGTCCACCAATGTCTTGTGAGACCGGCGTTGATGGTTGGGAACTTGATGCTGCCCTCAAATTAATTATCCAATTCCACGGGTATTGGGATTTCTACCAAAGAATCTGGGAAATGACATATATATGTGCTGTTGGGCTTTGAGTAGATTGAAAGAAGAGACCAGTGCCAAACCCATCAAATAATGACCATCATGTTTCCTCGACTTACCACTATCATATCTTTGGGAGCACTCCTTGTCCACAATGTGTCAAGTGAAGCCCTTGATATTCCCAGCAGCTTAATTCAGCGTCCAAATATTCAAATTGGGCCTTACCACACTGGAAAGCCATTTCCAGTATCCGCAGCACGCGATCCAAACAAGCTCTGCCGCGTCAAGGCAGAACGATGCAAGGATTCAGCACCCGCCATCCTCAAGGCTTTCAAAGACTGCAACCATGGCGGGACGGTGATTCTGGATGGAAATTACACCATAGCGTCGCCGTTGGACCTGACGTTCCTTGATAGTATAGACGTTGCAATTCTCGGAACAATCAAATTTACGGACAAATGGGAGTATTGGGTCGAGCACTCTTTCAAATACGCGTTCCAAGACTCGTCCACGTTCTGGCGCTTTGGAGGGAAAGATGTCAATATATTTGGCCATGGTCTCGGGACCATTGATGGGAATGGGCAGATATGGTACAACATGGCCCCTTACAATAGCACACTTCTCCGGCCCCTCCTATTGATGATCGATGGCCTTCACGGTGGCTCAATAACGGGGTTGAATTTACTTAATCCGCCAAACGTGGGTGCTCTGTCTATTGATATCGGATACCGTTACTGACTAGGAAGGCATTAGTGGTTCTCCTTGTATCACAACAGTTCAGACCTCTTCATTTCTGACATGAATCTTCTTGCGTTCAGCACCAACTCGACGGTAAGCCCTCGGAACACAGACGGTTTTGATACGCTTCGCACGTCCAATGTGATCATACAGAACTCGGTTGTTCACAACACAGATGATTGTGTTTCATTCAAGCCGAACAGCTCCTCTATCGTTGTACAGAACCTCCAGTGCCATGGCTCACACGGCATCTCGGTTGGTTCACTCGGTCAATATCTGGGCCAGGTCGATATTGTTGAAGATCTTCACATCTACAATATTTCTATGGCCAATGCCACAGATGGCGCTCGTCTCAAGGTCTGGCCAGGCATTGCTCCCGGCGAGACAAAGACCAATGTTGGTGGCGGCGGTGGTTATGTTAAGAATGTGACCTACGATCTTTTCCAGAATATGAACAATGACTGGGCAATTCAGATTGACCAGTGTTACGGTGTCTCAAACAAGACTCTATGCCAGGAATATCCGGTATTTCCTGCCAAGTTCCTTCCAAGTTCAAACTTTTGTTGTTCTGCCTCAAACTAACTCCGTTTCAAGTCAAATATGACAATGTCCGATGTTCTCATTAAAAACATGTCCGGGACCACATCTACGAAGAATGACCCGAAAGTTGGACAACTCATCTGCTCGTCTCCAGAAGTGAGTATCCATTTCTTGTGTACTGAGTAGCTTTGGCAGGGTTATTGATGCATAATACAGAGGTGTCTTAACTTCCGCGCAACAAACATTACAGTCCAGCCACCGAGTGGGAAGTCGGCGCAATGGACATGCTCAGGATTCGACACGTCGGGCCTCGAAGGATTCCAGTGCGTTGGCATATAAGGATGAATCCAACTCCACTCCCTGACCCAACCCCTATTCTCATTTACGACGGAAAAGGGAGTTTTTTAGCCCATGCAGAATCAGACCTCTGTAGTGCGTATATAATGTCAATGCTATCATTATCGATTCGTTGTTCGCAGTCCAATACCAGTATTCACGGTCTGGGTGTAATCCATCCTCCAGACGTGCCAGCGTGATTTGCTTCTTGTGTACGAGTCGTGACCTTTGGTGGTTTTCTTAGAAATCAGTTCGGAACGCCAAACCGGAATCATGTAATCGTTGCTTGGCTAGTCTGATTATGGCATCAATTTAGCGGTGTATGGATCAATTATCGCGAAAAGCCACGATAGTCGGTTTTGAAGAGGGCCGAATTTCCGTACCCCAGGTCCGCGTTCCGGCTCTGATTCCGGATACACTTCTCCTAATCCGCACGCAACCCCACCAAAACTCTCGGGGTATCTGATTGAGACGCACTCGGAGGCCTTCGAGTATTGAACTGGACATAGCTGTGAAGCGAAATTCGATTGAAATGCCGAAGAGCGTAGACTATTCAGAGCTGGCCAAACATGACTCTGCAGATGACCTGTGGATTGCTGTCAACGGGGAGGTGTATGATGTGACCGAGTTTGCCCAGGAACATCCTGGCGGATCTGATGGTATGTTCAACTTCTGTCTTACAACGCGTCAAAAGCTAAGGCAGGTTTCAATCCTCAGTGATCTATGAATACGGTGGAAACGATGCATCATCCACGTACAATGAGGCCCACGGGCCCTCGTTGATCAGAAAGTCTCTTGATGTCAAGTTTCACATGGGATCAATCGATCCGAAATCTTTCCCAAAGGGGCCTAAAACAGGCACAAAAGAGATTGATGGGAAACCGAAGGAATCAGTTGAGAGACCTAGCCTGGATTCTATCATCAATTTGGATGATTTTGAGCGAGCAGCAACCAAATCCCTGTCGGCCAAAGCCATGGCCTTCATAAGCGGTGGCTCCAATGACAATATTACCAGGGATGCAAACCGCTCGGCGCTGAACGACATATGGCTTCGGCCCCGGGTAATGAAGAACGTCACGAACGTGAACACGACCACTACGCTTTTCGGAGCCCGGCTGGATCTGCCATTTTATATTGCTCCAACGGGCGGAGCGAGGACTGGAGGCGCAGAGGGAGAGCTGACCTTGGCTCGAGGGGCAGCTGCCGGGGGAATCATTCATTGTTTCGCAACACCATCTTCATATCCTTATGACGAGATTCTCGAAGCTACCCCACAACGAGCTCTTTTCCAGCTGTACGTAAACAAGGATCGAGCACAATCCGAAGCCTCAATTCGGCAAGTGGCTGCTTCAGGGAAGATCAAGGCCATTTTAGTCACAGTTGATATCCCTGTAGTCCCAAAGCGCGAGGCAGATGAGCGTATCAAATCGAATGAAGCCATCGTGATTGCTGGCGTGAAGACGACCGTCACCGGCGGGGACAAGAAAGGAGGGGGGCTTGCGAGACAGAGCTCTGGATTCATTGACCCCAGCGTGGATTGGAGCATCATTCCATGGCTCCGCGGCCTGACATCCTTACCGATCTTAGTCAAAGGGATTCAGACTGCCGAGGATGCTAGAATGGCCCACTCTATGGGGTGTGATGGCATCGTGCTCGGCAACCACGGAGGCAGAGCGGCTGACCACGCACCCCCAGCCATCCTGATTTTACTGGAGATACAGAAGCATTGTCCCGAGATCCTCTCATCGATGGAGGTTCTAATCGATGGAGGGTTTCGTAGGGGAGCCGACATTGTGAAAGCAATTTGCCTCGGGGCGTCTGCAGTCGGCTTAGGCAGGAGCTTTCTGTATTCTCTTAGCTACGGCCAGGAAGGAGTCGAGCGTGTTATTGAGAGTAAGTGTCCTGGAATTTCCGACCCGACTATGACCTGGAAGCTGACAAGTTTACCCAAAGTCTTGCGCGATGAGATCGAAACCGCAATGCGGCTATGTGGGATGACTGATCTAATGCAAGATGCTCATCCGCGGTTTATCAACACTACACGAGTTGATCAGTTAGTTCCGGAAGAGGAGCACCCCTATGCGAGGAAGATTGTAAGAGATAGGCCACGATTGTAGAACAGGTTACACCTAGTCATCATCTAATACGCTTCTATAATACTGTTTGCCCTATTCGCATCATATGTGAAAGGCTGGAATTCTGGTGAAGTTGGATAATAATGAGATTTGGTTTAGTAGGTATAAAACGCTTAGAAAGAGGATGTGGAGGTTTACAGCCTAGCCTCCTCCCACGACCCCTTCAGTCTCACTTCGACCACAGCTGAGACGCCACCCTGGACACTCTGGACCGCCTCCGGCAACAACCGATGCAAATCATCGACTGAAGAGGCTACTCCACTCCAAGCACTGCCCCCAGATGCTGCCTTGGCTATTCCAGAGAAGTCGGGCGTAGGTGAGAATGAAATGTTTAGCCCTTCGTTTGACAGCTTTGACCCATACCCGTCAGGATGCACTAAAGTCAGCGAGTTGCGAGGAGCGTTCCAACCTAGTTTCCGTTTAGTAATTCCTCTATACAGAGTGAGTCTGAAGAGACTAACCTTTGTTGCTGAGCACGACGGTAAGGGTGGGCAGCCCGTATCTTCTGGCAATCCAGTAAACAGACCCAGGGATACCAAACATGTAGGTCCCGTCGCCCACAATCAGAGTCACAAACTTGCCCTTGCCTGGACCCCCAGCGAGGTGGTCTGAGGCAAGCTTAACACCTAGAGCTGCTCCTCCAGACCAGCCCAGACCACCTCCCCCACAGTTGAAAACATGGCCTGGCTCGTCAATCTGCAGCTGTTCGTAGATAAACGGACCGTTGGTAACGGCTTCTATACACCATATCGTGTCTTGAGGGCATATGTTGCGGAGTTGAGCGGAAAGATAGGATATACTTGGTGGGCTAGAAGTGTCAGAGGGAGCTTCCGCTAGTTTCGCGATCTTTTCGAGCCGTACGCGATGGCTTTCGGCGAGTAGCTCCCAACGTTTTCTGTAGGGCTCAGCCTCTCGGAAGGACGAGAACCGGGCTTGGGTCGAGATGTGATCATTGAGTTGTTGCAGAGCAGTTTCTGAATCCGCACGATAACGGCGGAACGCATTGATGTAATGCAATGGCATATTCTCTTTCAAGGGATCAACGTCAATATGAATAATTTTGGCATCAGCGCGGGGCTTGCACTGGGTCGGGATCCAAGGCACATCGCAATCAATAACAAGAATGGCATCGGCTGTTTGGATAACCTCATGGCGACCGATTGCAACTCCCTGAAAAGCGCGATGACTCCATGGGAAGCAAACATCGCTTCCAAGACCGTCCAGTACCTTGACTCCTGGAATGGCCTCCGTGAGTTGCACCAGAGCCGGTACCGTTGCATGATTTCTTCCGGTAAATCCAACAATAACCAACGGGTTCTCTGCTTCAGCCAATAGCGATATGATGGTCTCGAGGGCATTAGGGGGTAGGCCAATCGGGGAAACACCACCCCAGACTTCCTGATCAAGGTGGTATGGCTCAATTTCTTCTTCCATAACCTCCCGGGCACCAACAAGGTACACCGGTCCTTTGGGATCACTCGTAGCAAATTGCAGTGCTCGATTGAGGACTTGTTTGATGTTCCTACCAGTTTTGAATTCGCCTGTAAATCGACAGAATTGAGACACAATCTGTTTCTGGTCACGCGAGTCTTGAAGCCAGTGTATGTACTCCGTTCGTGACCCACGCATCTCGCCTTCCAGCGTGAAAGGAGATAATCCAGCGAAGATGAGAACTGGGCATCGTCCCACGGAGGCGTTGTGCAAAGCGCAGCCAAGGTTCTGGGTCCCGACATCAACATGCACAAGAACGCATTGAGGCTTGCCTGTTAAGCGGGCAAACCCGTCAGCCATGGACATGGCGACCATCTTTGCGCTTGAGGTTAGCCGAGTGGTTATGCTACATGACTTTGAGCCGGGAATCAAACCTCATGAGGGCAGGTGATGACCTCGGGGAAGTTGACACCATTTAGATGAGCTCCGTGGGCGAGGGACTCCATGATGGCCGGATGGTCCGAGCCAAGGTTGACGAAGACATAACGAACACCAGCCTATCCGCCTCATCAATTAATCGTTGCCAAGTAAGTATAGATCCGAACAGTATTTACCTCCCAAAGGCCCTCGAAAAAGGCAAACGATGCCGAATATTTCTCACTGTTCACATGTCAGCATCTGACACTACATTAACGAGGCTAATACTACATACAGATTGTGCATTGCTGATTTGTGCTTAGAAAAAGGGTTACCGGTAAACTATCCGTCGAGTTGGATACAGCGACTATCTGAGACCCTTGAGAGATATGACTGTATTGAACTCTTTAGGAAAGTTTATTTTGCCATTTGCTTGGTGATGGAGGCGATGCCATAGACTGCTTGATCGACGGTACAGGAGTTCCGAAACGGAATCGGTTGGAGTTGTCTCCGCATCAGTTTCGGCTATTGACTTCCATCACGGTAGGCAACAGGGAGGCAGTCGAGGTTCGCATTTCAAAGTAGCAGTAGCTAAGCTTAATAAATCTGACTATAACAATAGATACTGTATTTGGGCTTTCTTTGCTTTCAGGAATTGGCTGGGATGGCCAAGCGGCAGACACGTGTGGTGATTGTTGGCCCTGAGATGATAGTATATGCCGTGAGCGGAATCCTCATGATCAGCCCTGTATTAACAATTGACATCTCAAATGTATTAGAACCCGAGACCAGGTAAAGAAAGCAGGAAAGATAAGCAGAATGCAAAGTTGGATAAAAGGAAATCTGACTGCTGTTGTAAGAGAGTGGATAAGGGCAGCGGGAACCGGGTCCCCTCACCAATTATAGATACCAATCTAATAAAATACAATCTAAAGCTTAGAGATTTTAAACTTGATACATTTGACATAAGTCCAGTCTTCCAAGGCATCCTTGCCCAGATCTCTCCCGAAGCCGCTCTCTTTGACGCCTCCGAACGGCGTGTTCGCATGGACGTTCCCCCACATGTTCACAGTCACCTGCCCAGTCTCCATGGCCTCGCTCACGCGAACAGCCTTGTTGACATCCTCAGTGAAAACTGCCGAGGCAAGACCGTAAGATGTGGAATTCGCCAGCTCAACAGCCTCCTGCTCTGTGCTGAAGCGGGCGATCGAGGCCACGGGCCCAAAGATCTCCTCGTTGATGATGGTAGCGCTGCGGTCGACATCATAAAAGGCGGTGTTGGGCACAAAGTGTCCGCTACTGGGCAGTTTTGAATCGTCACCCCCGTGAAGCAGCTTCGCGGTATTCTCTGCAGTGCCCTTGCGGATGAATTCCATGACACGTTCTTTCTGCGTCTTGTTGATCAAGGGGCCCTTGGTTGTCTCTGCCAACAGCGGGTCTCCTGCGATCGCATCCTTGGATAACCTGGAGAACTCGCGCACGAAACGGTCGTAGATGGTGTCCTGCACGTATATTCGGCTGCCAGCTGCGCAGATCTGGCCGTTGTTGGCTGTGATGCCTGCGGTGGTCCAGGCAAGAGCATTGTCCCAGTCGGCGTCTGCAAAGACAATGCTGGGTCCTTTACCGCCGAGCTCGAGTGTTACCTTTTTAAGATTCGTCTTTGCTGATGAGGCTAGAATATGGCGACCAACAGCAGTACTGCCAGTGAATGAGATCTTGCGGATTTCCGGATGATCAGCCAATGCCTGGCCTGCCACGGTACCCAGACCACAAAGAATGTTGATAACACCAGGAGGGAAGCCTGCCTCTGCCACTAGCTCGGCTAACTTCTGACCGTACAACGGAGACATCTCTGGAGTTTTAACAATGATGGTGTTTCCGGCGGCAACGGCCGGGGCGACTTTCCACAGGGTGATCATGCTATACACAAAGTTAGAACTCTAGATAGAGGCTAGGTATAATACAATCGACTGACAGTGGAGAGTTCCAAGGAATGATGGCTGCACAGACACCATAGGGAGCACGCTTGGTATATGCCATGCCCTCCGAGATGGACAGCGATGTCCCGTCCACCTTATCCGCCCATCCCGCGTAGTATCGGCATGTCTCGGCAGCCTGGGGCACGAACTTTTGGCTTGAGTCTCTGTACAGAATCCCCGCGTCGACTGCTTCCAGAGAAGCGAGCGATTCTGTCTCGCGCTCTATCAGATCTCCAAGACGGTGTAGCAAGTTGCGTCGCAGCTCAGGTGCGGCCGTCGACCACGTCGTGTGGAATGCCTTGTTCGCAGCCGAGACAGCTCTGTCGACATCGGCCACCTGTGCCGCAGAGATAGAGCCCAGCTTCTGCCCATTGTATGGATTCTCAATCTCTACAGTTGCATCCCCAGCAGCGGGGACAAACTCATTGTTGATGAAAAGTCCAGTTGGTACTATGGCTGGTGAGCTCTTGAATTATAGATTTGAACGGCAAGCATACCCTTGATTTGGCGCCCGTTGACACCAGAGATCACCAAAGAGGTAGACATTTCGACACTTATTTCAACGCAATTTACACGTACACACGGAAATATCAGGAACAATTGATGTACTCTGAGCAGCCAAACACCAAGCTAGATCCTGGTAGAGCTTATAAGGCCGTCTAAAAGAGGCGCACAAGTGGATCTTGTCGACGGCACTGATTGACTGCTTTCCGACTTTCCGAGTCCAGTTCCGATTCATTCCCGCTACCGACGATGAGCACAATTACTAGCCCAGGAGGTACTTAAGAAGTTTCTGATTGGTAACAGCTAGGTGGCTCGTGTACTATTGTCTTTTTAGGTAACCTCTTCCGCCGGCCAGTCTGGCTGGTCTGAGGTGTGGTGTTTGAACCAAGAGAGGGTGGGCAAACGCCTGCTCCTGTGCAAACTGCACTTCCTCATCCCCAAGAACGGCAGATCCATTCAGAAATAAATATATAGTATAGCCATACGAGGTCTTTACTAGGATGTCTTTGCTTACATGTGGTTTCTCCACCCGAAAGACCTCGTCAATCGCTGCTGGTGCAATAGAAGTGTAGCCAACGAGGCCTGATGATGTCTGACGGTCTGTTCCTAACGGAATACGAAGGGAAGAAGCCATTCAGCGGGATCGGGCTTGATATAAGTTCACCCCAAGGAGATCAGGGACAAGGTGTCTGCGACGGGATTTGGGACCCTTTGGTCTGTCGAATGACTTTCCAGGTGCTGAACTCGGAATTAGTGCGGAATTTCCGTGATATATGCAAAACGTTTCACTAGTCAATCGACAGGATCTTCCTCAAATGGTGCTCAATGCCAGGGCCTTCATGAAGGGAAGTTTCGTATGCTAGGCATTTTCGTGGCTTTAATGATGGGACACTGTAATATCTAGACCAAGGGCAGTATTCGTCCGCTCCACGAACCGATGGCAGTCGCTACATATCGGGCGACAGACCATGATTTTAGCTTTCTTTAGGGAAGTAGCAGGCGCTGCGCTCTTGAGGGCGGAGAGTTTCTCCCTGTGTTTCAGTTGATTAGATTCCTCGGCCGATGGCTCGCCCAAATGTAACCTTGCCATATCAAGATCGTCTCCCGTTTCATGAGCCAAGAACAAGTGTTTGTTGACAAAATACGCAACCAATTGCTTTTCGGCGTGGCAGGCATTATATCGCCCTGCTTGTCCTTGGTCACGAGCGTTTGGTTCTAGGCTATGTCCGACAATTTCGCAGAGGCGACGAATCTCATCTATCCAATCTCTTCCGCCGATCTGAATGTTGATATCAGGGTCTTCCTGGTGGCCCCAACCGCTCATTGCCGCCACGGGGTGGAATGCGCTTCCACGATATAGAACCCCGATGGTCTTCCATTCGTTGGGGATATCAAAGTGGGCAATGAGCGCTAGTAACTAGTTACTGGTGGGCGACCTCGTGAATGCAAATCCTGCGATATTATGGTGATTTTGATGTAGACTCTCCTCAAGCTCTCTGTTCTTAAGCAAACAAACAATTGCTTTGCGATCCAGATCTCTCTGGTACGTGTCCTCCCGATACATCCCGCAGCGCTCGTGGCGTTCCTCGACATTTGCCGGCAGAGGCCTAGCGAAGTCAACGGCTTGAAGCCGCCGCCCATTGCGCACACATTCTAGCTCTTTCTCAGCGCCGAATTTGAGGAGAGTTTTCACATTCTCCAACCGGCCCCATAAAGCAGCCTCTACAAGCGGAGTTCGTCCGTCGACATCCCTGGCATTTGGAGAGGCGCCTTTTTGGAGAAGAAGCTCGAGGATTCTCGGGCATATCTCACAGGCAGCCAGGTGTAAAGCAGTTTTGCCAGATGTTCGAGTAGCCTTTTCAACCAGTCTTTTGCTGCTGCTGTCATCGCCGTCGCCATCATGATTGTTGCCAGGATAGTCCCAAGCCGAGACACCATGGAGGAATATATCGGATTCAGTAGAGGACTCGAGGTATTGGCTTACAGGTTCAATGTGTCCGAAAATCATATTGCTCACCACACAATCAATCAATTTACAAGTATAGCCACCGGGAGTTTGATCACTGTCAAAGGAAATAGTCTCGGTCGCCTCTATCCACTTGCGCCGGCTCCCCATGTCCTGCGTAAGGGATAATTGCTGGTCGCACGTTTGGTCGACGAAGTATTCGGCCGGGTCTGCCCCACCAGCTACGAAGAGGGCTCTCTGCTTGTCGATTTCGTAGCTGACATCACCCTCTTGCTCATTGAATGGGTATAGAATCTCATAGTCGACATGACCAACTGGGCGGCTGCAGTGGGATAGGCGCTGGGATCCGTCGTAGCCAGCAAAGCCATGCTTGTGAATTTTCTCGCAGCTGGGGCAGTGGACATAGACGGATATGATATTCCACCACACGGCCGCTGCCTGAATAGGTTTGTCGGCGGTCTGTGCTTGCTCAGCCATTACATGGCTTCAGCTGGGATTTACTAGCGAGAGTAGGACCTGGTCAGCGTTGACTAAGTAAGTAGAGTGGTTGTTTTGGGCGCCAGTCCGATTCATTCAAAATGGGTGTTGCTGAATAATTATAGTGCAAGGCCGGCCTGTGTATTGGTTATGAAATAGGTGTAGTCTTTCGGATCACGAGTATTAGAGCTCTTAAGTAGGTATTCGTAGTCTTCGGTAGAGTTTGGGGAAAATAACTTAAGTCGTAGCGGCGATGTAACTTTGTGAATGTAGCTGTGAAGGTTGGTGTGAACCTTCAATTAAGCTTTCAGGGTGAATCTTGTTTTTCCCCCTCTATAACTGCATCAAGGCGGCTAAGTCGTATGTCCTAAAATGGTTTCCTTCTAGCTGTTTGGGTTAACTCGGCTTTTGTTCTTCCTTCCCTGACATTAGTTATCAATAGCAGTCGAACTTGAAGGACGAGGATCTCAGCATAGGTACCTAGAGTACGTATCCCCTGAAGATGGGGGACACCCAAAAGAAGACGCCGCTAGTAGAGGTGCTACTGGTCGTGTTGTCCATAGTGTTAGAGAACTCGTTACATTGCAGATTAAAGAAGTGGCAGATCGGGAATGCTGCTTGTTTGTCTCTAGGATCTGATTGAAGTAGTAGGATGCTGTAATAGGAGATTTTTCGTTTTTCTTTGTGTTTACCGCCTCTGGGGATGATTCTACGTCTCAGTCTTTTAGAATTAGGTTCAATGCTGGCTTAGTCCTCTCGTGAAGTTGAGCACCTAATACCGTCCCGTCGTTTAGAGGAAGGCAGCACAGGAAACTTGTTTGCCAATGCAGCTTGATTTTGATCCTATCTCATTCGACAACAATGAAATTGATTCATACCGCTATAAATCTACGGTTCTTGTCAAAGTAAACTAAGGCTGTGATCCTGCTTCCTGCTGAAGCACAAGTTAAAAATGAAGAGCAAAATGATCAAAGCACCTTCAAAGGCAACGGGTTCAAATTTCACAAATTGCGTTACCACGTTATATTAAAGGTGGGAAGAAATCAAATCGAGTGAAAAAGCATCAATTCATTATCGTACCTAGTCAAGGTTTACGAATCGTCATTAAATCCCAAATTCAACGCCGGGCTTGTATGTACACTCCATCATCCAGCACAAATATATGAGCAACAAAAATATAGATAGGCGAAGGAGGCTAGAAGAAAAGTAGAAATAGAACCGCTTTCTTTATAAAGGTTCGTTTCAATGCTAACTTTCAGCTCTGGTGGCCTTTCTAGACATGTCCAGTCTTGACAGGGGCGTAAACGGTGTTGGCGCGTAGACCTCCGTACTCCTTCCTGCACACGCCATATGCCATGCCGATGGTGATACAGAACACCCAGTTGTTAGCAACAAGTCCGAAGGCACTGGCGGCGGTGAGGCCGGCAGCGGTACCGATGTGGTCACTGTCGAGCAAAGCCCCGATACCCCAGGTGGCGTATCCGTTGATGGCAGCCATAACCATGTGGCGGAGGGCGGTCAGGGTGGAAATGACGATCAAGTGAGTAGCAAGCTGTGAATTATTGGTGTTAAAACTCGTTTGGTAGACGAGGGGATGCGGTGGTGAGGACTTACGCTGCTGTGAGGTGGAATTCGAGGCTGGCGAGCTGTGAAGATGAGACAAACAATCGAAGCGATGGCGAGGATGACCTGGACGGCAAAGTCGAGAGAGACCTGAGCCACTGCCATGTAGTAGTTGCCGGCAAGATAGGCCTCGTAAAGGCCGAAAGAGGCAATGGCGACAATCATGACGAGAGCCAAGGCGAAGACGCTGAAGAACCGGCTCTTTCGCGCCTTGACCTCGACCATGTTGGCGCTTTCTCCGCGGCCAGACATGGCAGCAATCATCTTGAGCCCTCGAGCGAATTCAAACTGGGTGGCGATAAAGAGAGCCATGCAGGCGGTCGAGAAGACTGTGTTGATGGCCTCAATATGGGCAGCGGCTACATATAATCTGGTAGATCTCCCTGGGTATCGGGTACTGGCTGTCGTGACTGTTAAGATGAAGCCAACAATGACAAGAACTTCGTAACTAGAAGTGAAGATGGTCAATCACTTGGAAGAATGATCGTGATAGCTTTCTGGGAGACAAACAGCAAAATAAACCCGGCCGTGACTTTGAGGTAGGTAATACCAGTGCGGGCCCTGTCATTCTGCTTGTGGCATCTGCACAGAATGACAATAGAAAGGACGATGATGACGATGGCGGCGATCAGGGTCAGGACCCCAATGATCATACTGCCTATGGCGACGCCAACGAGAGTATTCATATTTGCAAGTCGATCAGAGGAGGTCCAACGAAGGGGATGCTGTCGGTTGTCGTGAATAGAGATCGGCGGAGAAGACTGGCTTGGTGTTGCACAACCTGTTGGGCTGAGGCCGTTGTAATATACCTCCTGCACGTCTTCTCAACCTGGAAGCATCCCCCGGCTGCTTGCCAAAAATAGGGACCTAGACGAGGAAAAGGGCTGAGAGAATCCGCATGATTAGAGAGGAGCTGCGCCTCTCCGCCAATGATTAACAGCCAATCTCGCGCATCCGACCCCCCGAAATAGGTCGGGCTAATGTCGTTAAGGAACTTAAGGGTCGCGACCCTCTTAGACCCCAACCAAAGTCCACATCCTTCAGCAAATTTTGAGCACAGCCCGGCTTCCATTGGCGCGCACAGCCTTACAAGGAGTCCTGTGCTTACGGCCAAGCCCGACCCATACACCGCAGCCATGCTGCTTATTAGGGCTAAAGGGGGAGGGAGATTCAGAGAGTTGGGTGAAAACAAAATCCATACGCTAGGAGATGGACTGTCGTGTGCAGCTTTAAGTAACTAGAGCTTCCCTTCACCCTCACCCCAGACCTCTCCGTCATCTCCTTGTCCATAATGCCCTGTATCCTCGCGACTGGGTTGCCAAGACGCTGTCAGCCCAGCTCTGGCTCAGACTCAATATGGAGCTTGACAACGGGGCTGTCGCACCAAGATGAACATCCACATTTAGATGTGCCGAGTAGAAACCTTGTAGCCATCGCGCAAGTCCAGCTCTCAGGTCCAGCTCACAAGTGTCAAGTCACGAGTTCAGCTCGCAACTTCAGCTTGCAACACTTGTGCAACTATGAACGACAATGCCATGTTTCTAAAGAGCGCCAAGTCTCATATCACGGGTGGGATACAGTTTGCGCCCAGTAAGCAAGAGGCTTACGAAAAACTTTGGCCTCCTTGGCGCTGTCACTACCAGGGTAACGGAAGTTCAGCCTACACGATGGTATGAAGTAAGTAGCTAGTGTTCCATTTGTCAAGGCCGAGCCGTTGGGGCTTGATAAGATTCGCTCTACCGGGCATTCACCAACGCGAACAAGCTTTTAGAGAAATAACGCCATCTATGCGACAACATTGGGGAAAAAATAGTGATCCACCTCAGAATGGATTGGATCACTATTTTTGTCCCCTAATCATCTTGCCGTAGCTATCTGCTTGCTGTAGTTTCTGCCCATCTTCCCCCAAAACGGTGGTGGCTGAGCATGCAATGATGAGCTCCTCCAAAGACCTTTTGCAATGTTGATCAATTGAGTGGGCTCTGCTGGGGTTATATTGAAAAAAAAGAGTTATATTAGGCTAGCTTCACATTACATATGATTTATAAAATCAGAATGGTACTGGCTCAACCTCAACTATGGTTCAGCCACCTGAGTAGTAGTCCATGCTCAAGGGTAAATCCCTCTCATAACCCGATCGACGTGGCCAGCAAAGGCAGTCAAGAATACCGCGGCGATCTAGTTGCGCGTCGCTATGAAGTTGATCCTTGTCCTTACCATTGGTCGTGTTCGTTAATGCTGCATGGCCTCACTTCCACCCACAGGACCAGATCATCATCAACCGTCCTGGCTTATGTAGGAAAGATTCCCTCCCCCACCTTCCCTTCTTATTACCAATTATGAAGTAGAGAGATTAAATAAAAGTCTAAATTATCTGGAAATGTTTATAGCTCCCGCCAGGAGGGGGGAGTATCAATTCGATTTCCTGGCCCGCTATCAGCAAAGCAACCACAAATCTTTTTTACAACAGGTCTAGAAATTCAAGCATATGAAGTTCACTACCGTTCACTACCCAACTACTTGTTTTAGTAGACATCTTTCTAAACAAATAGGCCTGTTTTTTACTTTATACTCAAGGTCTCTCACAATAGAATAGGTCAGCCTCCTCCATCTGTTGCGGCAGTTCGAATAGCCCCAATCCTGGATGCAGGCCTCTCAGGTCCTGATACCCCTTGTCCATTATCATGTGTTTCCAAGTATCAAACGTCCCAAGTGGGAAAACCCAAAATCCTGCCGCCGATAGGAGGTTCTTCTTGCGTTCTTCGGGTTCCTGCCAACCCTTGTACTCTCCATCTAGATATTTCTTGTACACTCTGTCCTGCTCCAATTGCAGAAATTGATCCATAGTTTGATCACATCTGACCTCGCGGGTAGGGTGATGCGGAGCCCAGCGTGTAGCTCCTACCGTGAGAAGATGAGAGATTTCACGGGTAAGCTCGTTATCACTGCTGCCTTTGGTATGAAAGCCTAACTTCTTTTCCATGTCCACCCATGCATGGACAACATCTCTGGGGTCGCCCCACAGTACTTCGTTCTCCTTCATGCTTGGTTGAATTGGCCGCGGATCCAAGCTAAACAAATCAAATTCAATACCATGTGGGAATAGCGGCGTTGCTCGATTGAGACCTGAATGTAAATGTGAAGGGGTCAGACCAACACGAGCACTTTCAGGTAAGAACTTGATAAACCATAGTGATTGTAGATTTGCGATACACTCCTTGAAGGTCTCAAGGGCGTCTCGCGAGATGTCTAGTGTGTGGTCCGGCGCTGGATTGAATGCTCTTAAGGCTTTTTCAGTTCGGTCACGGCTGCCGTTCAAGACAAGATGAAGTAAACCAACGCCACGCGGATCAGATGCTTTTAAATCATTGACGAAGTTGATAAATAGATTGAGCTTCGTTTCGAATAGACGTACAAAGAGATAGTCACTCTCAGGGCTTAGCCAAAGTGTCGAAGTGTTGCTAGGCCCAACGGGAACAGGAAGTCGGAAATGTTCTCGAGCAGCTGCCCTGGATTCCCTGCAAACATTCCAAAGATGATTAATGCGAGGCTTCTGCTCCACTAAGAGGTCGTATTGGCCAACGAGATATCTGAGTAGCAAGACGTACGGTAAAAAGTCGTCGTCTAGCTAGAAGGAACAATATCCATATTTCGAGCCTGACCTCAGCAGGGAGACGAGAGAATAAGGGAAAAGAGGTGGGCTTGGAGGCTAGATTTGAAAAATGAAGATGATTGAGGGTCTGAAAAGAGGGTTGATACGCGTCCATAATAGTGGCCTGAAGGTCTGTAAGATGGTGATAATGCGAAGGAAGGATATAGCGATTCAGGGCATATCACTAACAGAGCCTTGATTCATTCAGCAGTGTGTTGAGAGTATTGATCAATTATCGTAAGATTGAGTGAAGATGATGCACTGGTTGGTTGTGTCACGGATGATAATGCCTCACACCCCGCACCGCTTCTGCCTTGGACAGGGATGCAACCAACAGAACCAATACTTCAACCAACCTGCGCGTTAGCGAGCACTATTGTGAGAGAATTACTATTATTACATGCAGCCCCTGGCTCTGGTATGCATTACCTCATTATGTAGTATTTCTTTTTGAATGCAGTAGTATGCTTATCAAGGATATACCGAGCTACAACCGACGTCAACCAATGGATGCAGAGATATCAAGCTATTGGTTGAAAGTAAAGGTCCTTGTACATAACCTGCTGTTGGTACTGCTCCAATGTGTTACTAAATAAAAACTTATGACTTAAGAATCTCCTATTTTGAGATAATTCTGACTACCTGGCGCCACTCCTTCATATACCGTAAGTTTGTTGGTAGCTGCTAGTCTAGCAAGAGATACTTCAAAACTGGTCTTGAGCAGGTGGCCTGAGATGTACCAGATAATAATTACAATAATAGAACTATGCTTTGTGATTGGATGCCACACAACTTACTCTCGATTTCATATGATTGGGCTTTACACTCGGGAGCAATGCGTGTGAGCTAGGAAAACGAAAAACTCAGCTCCCCCAAACAGCTATAAGGAAACATTTTGGGACCACATGCGCCCAGGGGCTATATCTAAAATAAGAAACTATATAATTAGCAGCTCAATATCAATCATATCGCATTTGGGAGGTCCTGAAAATCTTTAGTCTTAATATAAATCAGTACGCTCCCGTTAGATCTTTTCCTCCTTTGAACACAAATACTTATCCGCAATTGCTCGGTATCATTTTCGTTTGAATCATCTCTTCTATTCTTTGAGCCAATCTCGAGACCATGAAAATGAAATTATTTCTTTTTCTTTGCGCCTTAGCAACCGTTGTACGAGCGGCTGAGGATCTAGGAGCTACAGCCCAGGACGATGGAGACGTGGTCGCTGGGCCTAAAGATGTTGATCTTCAGGTTACTGGCCTAGAAGATTCTATTAGCGTCGCTGTGGAAGGTAAAAATAAGGATGAAGAAGAGAGGAAGATCATGGCCAAGGTCGGTAGCGAGCAGGTGGAAGAACATATGGAGAGGGTGAAGAAGAAACTGGACGATGAGAAGATTCAGGGAGCTGATCTCAAGATGCAACTTACCTACCCGGGCTATGATTACGTCCAAATAAAGAGTAATTTTGAGGATCCCTACAGGCTGAAGACAGAAAGAGAAGGGGGTATCAGAGCGAAGCAAGATGAACTAAACGGCGCTAGGAAGCTTGCTGTCTCGAAAGCCGAAGAGATTCTGAAAGGCAAGGGGACATATTCTAGAGTCCTTTCAACCAAGAGTCGCCAGTCTCCTTACTATGTACCCGGGGAAAATTCAGGCAAGCACATTATGCACGCTGATGGCACCATCTCCCTTCAAGGCGACGTAGTATCTCAAAGAAAATCCGCAGATGAGATCAGTAAAGACAGGAAGGCACACTATCGAGAATCGCGAAAAAATAATGCGGGACCAGCACCGGTCACTATAGAGGAAAAAAAGCAGTCGGAAAAGTCAAAAGAAGAGTTAGATGGAATCCTACCGAAGAAGAGTATGATAGAGCAGCAGGGAGATATGCGGGCAAATCCAGAACAATCCGCCCCTCAACCACAAGCACAGAACGAGCCAGCACAGAAACGGCCAGCACAGGACCAGCCAGCAGTGGGAAAACAGGCCGCCACAGAGGAGAAGAAGCAGTCGAAGAAGTTAAAAGCAGAGTTAGATGGAATTCCCCCGAAGAAGAGCACGATGGAATAGCTAGGAGATATATGGGCGAATCCAGAACAATCGGCCCCTCAACTATAAGCATAAAACGAGCTAGCACAGAAACGGCCAGCGCAGGACCAGCCAGCACAGAAACGGCCAGCGCAGGACCAGCCAGCACAGAAACGGCCAGCGCAGGACCAGCTAGCACAGGACCAGCTAGCACAGGACCAGCTAGCACAGGACCAGCTAGCACAGGACCAGCCAGCAGTGGGACAATAGGCCGTCACAGAGGAGAAGAAGCAGTTGAAGAAGTTAAAAGCAGAGTTAGATGGAATTCCCCCGAAGAAGAGCACGATGGAACAGCTGGGAGATATGTGGGCAAATCCAGAACAATCGGCCCCTCAACCACAAGCACAGAATCAACCAGCCCAGAACCAACCAGAACGTGACCAACTGGCGAAAGATTTCAAAGACATCGAATCCGGTGCGCCAAGGCCCCCGCCAACGGACGCCGAACTCAGCAACGCAGTGAAGGAACTCAAGCAACAAGCAGCAGAATGGGGAGCAGACACAATGGGCAGCGGTGAGTCGTGCTCGGTCAGCTACGGACCACGGGGCCTACAACGAAGAGGTTGCGGCAGCGCCAGTGCGAAGAAGAGCCCAGCAGCGAAGAGTCCAGCAACTGTGTTGAACAAGCACCCGGGCCCTAAGCCTGCAACGGGGCCTGGGAGGAAGTCGGGAAAGCAAGAGGGCCGGAAGTCTGGAAGGCCTCATGGAAAACGACCAGCAACTCAAGGTGCAAGGAGAAAGGGAAAGCAATCTTCCAGAAAGCCCACCGGAAAGCAGATCAAACAGTCACCCGGCAAATCTGGTGCAAGGAAGGCCTTCGGTAATAAAAAGGCACCCATCGGAGGCAGTCACAAGAAAGGGGCTGCCCAGGGTGCAATGAAGGCTGGGAGCAAGAAGAAGACGACTACCCCCAAAAAGGGTGCTCCTCCCAAGAAATCAGCCAAGAGCGATGCTACTTCGAAGAAGCCACATAGGAAGGCTATCCTCAAGAAAGGGGCTAATCTCAAAAAGCCAGGGAAGAAGGGTGCTACTTCCAAAAAGCCACAACGGAAGGCTACTGCCCCTAAGAAAGGGGTTAATGTTAAAAAGTCAGGCAAGAAGGGCCTGCTATTAAGAATGCTGCTGCTGCCAGGAAGCCTGGAAAGAAGGCTGCTGTTCATAAGAAAGGACCTAATCTGAAAAAGTCGGGGAAGAAGGGATTTGTTCCTAAGAAGCTTGTTAAAAACACTTCTACCTCCAAGAAGCCAGGAAGGAAGGCTACTGTCCTCAAGAAAGGCACCAGTCATCGAAATACTGGTAAGAAAGGCACTATTCCCAACAAGCCTGCCAAGATGAAGCCTGGAAAAGGCTCCGCTACTTCCAAGAAGCCTGGCAGGAAGAGTGCCACTGCTCTCAAAACTGCTGGCTCCAGGAAGCCTCACAGGAAGGCCAGTGTTGCTAAAAAGACAGCTAAGAAACCTACCCAGAAGCTTGGCAAGAAAGGTGCTGCCAGGAAGAGTGCTGATCAGCGACCTCTGACTCGAAAGAAGATTGTCAAGAAACCTGCTGTTCTGAAGAAATTGGGAAAGAGGCCTGTCACCCCCAAGACCACTGCTACCCCCAAGAAGCCGGGCAATCCAAAAAAGATCACCCCTCTCAAGAAGGATGCGAGGCTGAAGAAAACTCCTGCTTCTAAGAAGGCCTCTATCAAAAAAGGCGCTATCTCTCAAAGGCCAACTGTTCCCAGGAAGCCTACTACTCAAAAGAAGACCGCTACTCCAAAGAAGGCTTCTCCTTTGAAGAAGGCCACCACGCCTAAGCAGGCTGCTCTTTCAAAGAGGCCTACTGCTCCTAAGAAGATCACTGCTCCGAAGAAAGCTCCTCCTCCCAAGAAGGCAGCTCCTAAGAAAGCTGCTGCTCCTAAGAAAGCTTCTCCCCCTAAGAAGGCTGCTCCTAAGAAGGCTGCCCCCAAGAAGGTTGCCCCCAAGAAGGCTGCTCCTCCTAAGAAGGTTACTCCCAAGAAGGTTGCTCCTAAGAAAGCTTCCCCCCCTAAGAAGACTGCTCCTAAAAAGGCTGCCTCACCCAAGAGGAGCAAGAGGAGCTTCGTTTGAAGCTTACTTCTCCCAGGTATTATTTCGACATGAGAATTATTTCTTTGTTTTCAGACCATTTTCTCCCGTCCCCGGCACCGATGGCAGGCGTGAGGAGACAATGTATATCAAGCCCTGAGCGACGGGAGGTGGTCCCATTCCGCGTGGTTGGTGGTAGAGATCGTTTATTCATGTAGAATTGTTAAAGATAAACTAGAATTATTTGTGTAAACATTCTTCAAAGTATTCACTGCGGGCGCACACCATAATCTCAAGGAAGGAAATATTTTGAAATACCAGTTGCAGGTGCGCCAGCGAGATGTTGATTTCACTATCCCTCGTTGAACCCCAGTCCATATCAAGACTTCAACAGTCTCGAGGTTGTGCTATGAGATTCGATAGCGCTGTCTGACGCATAAGCCACAGCAACCCCGCCTCTTGCATTCTCTATCCATTCCCAACGGTGCCGAACATCCGGAGAGCCTCTTTTGCCAATACATCACCAAAACCCGTGAGAGTCAGAAGAGAGCCGGCCACAATGTCCCTCTGCGCGCTCTGCAAGACCATCCCCTCCAACCTCTTCAGCTCCGGCAGAAAGGAGCAATGCAGCCTCGCCCACCACGAAAACGTCCCCGCGCTCGAGGCCTCAGCCGCGGCGGGCTGCCCCATGTGCGCCGTGATGCTGGGGGCGATACAACGCCGTGCCGACCAGGACGGCCAGCCGCGCAGCACGTTCGGCAAGCCCGTGGACCCGTCCAAGCAGGTGCAGCTGCGGAGCACCAAGTTCGGTGTGCAATGGGTCTGCGTCGACTGGGCGGACCTCGGGAGCCTGCGGGGGATCCAGGTTCCGGACGGCTGGGACGACGGGGTCGTTGCTGCGCCTGAGTTGCCGCAGTCGTCGACCCCATCGCGGGAGACCGGGACGTTGAGGTGGTGGTTGAGGACGTGCTGGGAGGGCCATGAGGAGTGTAAGAAGGACTTTGATTCTTCGTACGTGCCTTCGCGCCTGGTCGATGTCCAGGGTTCGGAGCCAGGGACGGTTCGACTGGTGTTGACGAAGGAGGCAGCAATGGAAGACAAGCGATATGTCGCTGCGAGCCATTGCTGGGGGCTGAATATGCCTGCTTCGGCCAAGACGGTGGCCGCGAACCTCGACCAGCACACCTCGTCGATACGCATAGAAGATCTGTCAAGGACATTTGCTGACATGATAGAAACTACAAGAAATATTGGCGTGCGCTATGTTTGGATCGACTCCCTCTGCATCATCCAGGACTCCCGCGCAGATTGGGAAGCCGAAGCGTCCCAGATGGCAGCCGTTTACTCCAACGCTTACGTGACTATCGCTGCATCGGGATCCTCCGATGGCACGGGCGGCTGTCGTTTAGGAGAGTCAAGAGCCGTCCATGTCGGACCGGCTGATCTGACCTGGGAAGAGACGAGCGATGACCAAAATGATGTCATGTCAAGCGCCAAAACCATCCGGGTCTTCGGCCAACCTGACATCCAGACTGTCAATGTACTGATGCAGGACCCCCTGATCAAGCGGGGTTGGACTCTACAGGAGCGTGAACTATCTCCCCGCGTCGCCCACTATTCCAAGGACTCGATCCGGTGGGAGTGCGCAACGCTGAAGGCGACGCTTGAGTTTCCCTGGGAAGACAAGCTGCCGTTCAACATGGCGCTCCGTGCATTCGACATGGGTCAGATCCGGCCACAAGATGAGAAAAGCACATATGATGATGATGAGAATGTTCAAAAGAATGCCCTTGTGTGGTACGAGGTGGTGGAAAGGTACAGCAAACGATCGCTGACGAAGCAATCTGATGTTCTGCCCGCCATATCCGGCATTGCACGCTATTTCGCCAAACAGACAGGCGACGCATATCACGCTGGGCTCTTTGCATCCCATGGGCCCATGGCTCTCACATGGAAGGTACAGGGCGAGTGGAAGAAGGAGGAGGGGAAGAGTGAGCGCCCCAAGGACTGCCTGGCCCCATCGTGGTCGTGGGCATCGGTAAAGGGGACTGTAGACTGGTTCAACAAAAGGGACGGCTCCCGGCCGATTGATAGCGCCTTTACGCCAGAGATCCTCGAGATGAGTACTGAGCCAGCAGGCACCGACCCTTTCGGCATGCTTGCTGGAGGACGGCTGCGGATTAGAGGGCTTTTCACACCGGCTGCAGCATTGCGGAGAGATGGGGACAATCTACAAGCAGATGAGCGGTCAATCATGGTGACTGGGCCTGATGGACTGCGGAAGGTTGGTATTGTTACATTCGACGTACCTTCAGAGGCTTGTCAGGTCGTGTTTTGCTTTGCATGCCGCCGAGAGGAAGAGTATGGGTGGATTGATGCTCTTGCGTTGGTGCCTTCAGGGGAGCTTGGTGCCAGCACCCAGTTCAAGAGGGTTGGGCTGATCAGGTCAAAAGACAAGTCGTGGTGGGAGAAGGCGCATCGTATTGAGATAACGATAATATAAAGGGCACACATAGCTCATCATATACGATCAACCTTAGCTGTTATAGAGAGTTATGTTCAAACAGAGCTGCTAGACTGCTTCAATAGTGCAGAGTTTTAAGGAACGTGGTAGTTTCCAGTCGGTTCTTTCTGTTAGCAGACATCTATCTTGCAACAGGTGGTTTTCATGACAATTTTGTGTGTAAAGATATATTGCACTGAGGAGACAGCATCCGATTTACCTGATAGTCGTCATTACTTCTTTCTACCTCACACGTCTTGATAACTAGTTTCCGTCACACGCTTTTCTCGGTTCAACAGACAAGAGAAAAATATGCAATGCATAGATAATGACATTAAGTACAAATCATACAACCAACTCCCCTTCTCCCCGGATAGAAATAGCCTTTGAAAAGACTCACACCAGTGTGAGCCCCCAAACTAAAAGATATTATCATAACATCTCGGCGTGTTCGCGGTACTAGCATTACAAAGAGAACCCCAAGGGACGCTCTTAAGACACAAAAGGGATGAAGAACCAGGCGCCGATGCCTCCTGCTCAGTTGAACTGCGCTTTGCGCGCACCCAGGTGGGAATGGGGGTTGCCGGTATCCTCACTAGAAATCGAATCCGCTTTATACGCCCCAAACTGCCCGCGCTGCTGCCCGCCCATGTACGAGCCCGACGGGGAGCCGTCGCGATGCGAGAAGGCGTTTTGATTCTGGTCGGCGCCGCCGCGCCCCTGCTGGCCCGTGACTCCCAGATTTTCGAGGTCGTGGCCCGTCACCTCGTCGTCCCCGTCAATGTCCAGGCCCTCCTGCCTGTCGCGCTTGCGGCGCCTGATGTGCAGCACTACCAAAGCCACCATGAGGATGATGAGAAATGCGCCTCTAGAGTGCCGAGAAAGAAAAAGGGAGCGTTAGTTGAGCTTGGAATGATGCCGCGACGGACCGAAGCCAGACGAGTGGCAGTCTGGATTGGGTGTCGGTGTCTTCTCTGCTGCGCTGCCGCCGCCTCTGACAATTGCTTGCTGCTTACCCAATGGAACCAATGATAATCCAACGCTTTGCATCGCCAACCTGTGGCTTTTCGCGGATGGTGAGGGACATGGCGGTCGCGTAATTAGGGTGGCGTGATGAGAGTCGCCGATGAGAAACGAGCGGGATCCTCCCTTTCAAGACTAGCTGAGGAGAAAATACTGCCCCTTGGACGATGCCAAGCCTGCGGTGTTTCGGGAGGGTGAGCGAGCGGACGACAGCGTGAAGTGTCGATGATGTTGTTCCTGGGATCAAATTCTAGCTGATGATGACGGCAAGTGTGTCCTCCTCTTGGTCTCCGCTCGGATCGGGCTGCATCGAGGCCGATCAGTGGAGATGGAGGGGGAGGGGAAACCAAGTTCTTAACGAGCGGCGAGTTTTGTTGGCGTTGTAGCGAGAGGGAGGGAGGCGCGGACAGCGGGCAGGGGATATATGTGGATGAGGTGGAGGGATGGATGTCGGTTCGCGTGTGTAAAATTGGCTCGCGCTGTGGCTTGATCCGGAGCTTGGGGCGCGTGACGTCAAACGTGTGGGCCAGCCAATGGCCTGGCGCAATGCCCACTGAAACATCGGCCCGTTTGTTATTCCGGGGGGTTTCTTGACGGCTTCCAGTACTTGTTGGCAGTATTATGGTCGCTGGCTCGGCTTTAGGTGCCGTCGCTGCCAGCCAAGGCCTTGCCAAAGGGGTTGAGGGGTGCTGGACATGCCGTGTTAGGCGCTCGCGTGATGCGAAGATGGCTGAGGCGAGGGACGCATGGAGATGCCGATGAAACGCATGATCCATGCAGGCTTTCCCTGGCTGCCTCCCCGCTTAGTCAGTCTTCAGCGCTGGCACCACTCAGCTCAAGCGCCAAGTGCCTTCTGCTGCAAGCTTTGGTGGCGCTGTTCGGCACAGTCCACTGACCTGCGGCGCTTTAGTGCAACCCTAGAAGGGCCTTTCCCCTGTACATCCCCCGCAAACGGCACAAAGCCTCCCGATCATGATGTCAACTGCACCTAGGGACGACCGCTAGAGCCTGTAGCGTCGATTTTGAAATCAGCCACACAGTGGCAGAGCAGGACAAACCAGCCAACACGGGAGAGTGATATTGACGAATGCCTAGAGGAGTTTAACAATTGCCGCAATCTAGAGTGAGATAGATATCAATACTATTGACCCATCTTGTTGACTGATTAGATATTGTGATGCGATAGTACATATTATTTTACGGTCTATAAGAGGCCAAACCCTCTCAATATATAACATTGAAGTCTACCCAATCCACGAGGATTCGCATGGGCGCTACATTTTGATCACTTCCATACGTACTTGCCGTCCAGTGACGGAAACGACCGAAATGTGCTTACTCGCCAGCATGTTTTCGCTGTCCAAAGGTAATCCCTGCAAGTGCAGTTCTTACTTTGCCAGCACGTGAAATGGAACACCGGCTGCTGACTGCATAGCATCTTCGTAACCTTTCACACACCGCCCCTTAGATTGGCCTCAAAAACCTCACCTCGGAGGATGGGACACTCTGAGATTGCATGCCAGATCTGCGGCGTGAGTTTTGCCCTCGCTCGCATTCGCACCCCGCAAGAGCCACCGACCGCTGCTTGGAGTAACCATGGGACGACTGATGGCGGGTATGTCTGGTCTTGGGCGCCTGAGGAGGATGATTTCGATGACGAAAAATCCGACGGAAATGTAGCCGGGGGCTGCATGATTGCTGTCCGAGCGGACCGGGACCACGAGGATGGAGATCTGCTTGCACTCAGCCAGCATCCTGAAGAAGAGATGTATTTGGAAGACATGCACGGCATTCCAAAGCATGACAGGGCCAAGATTTTAAAACGACTTCGCGATCTCGAGGGTAAATACTGCTTAGAACACGTCGCAGGCCCAGAATGTGGCAACGGGGACGGGTACCACGGAAACAGGATCTCTGTTGAAGAAATGAGAACCTGTTCTACAATGCAGGGGCTGGTCAAAAAACCTTCCGATTGGGAGCCCGAGGACGGGGACGAGGACTTTGAGAGATCGGAGGGATACTTCCTCAGTGGCTTGGTTGACTCTGTAACAACCGTCGACAGTCTGTACTACGAATCAAGTCATCCAAAAAGACACGGATGCGACAACATACTCCCTACTATGTGGTATCGGGATATAGTGAATGATACCTTTCATATGGACTTCTATTCCATCGCAATTCATCCCGCCTGTCTGGAAACCTTTAAGCGAGCCACCCTCCATCGATATGACCGTGTCGACGTCGGGGCGTTTATACAGTGGTGGGAGATGGATAGTGATGGAAAGTCACTCAGTCGAATCGAAGATGATGCAGATGTGAGAGCAGGCCGCTCTCAATGGTGGCAGCATATCCAAGGATCAGAATATCTCGCCGCAAATCCTTGCTTTGTGCCAAACCTGGATAAAGCCTTCTTGCCATTGGCTCCTCAGTCTGCTAGTCCCGCTGGGCATGAGGAAATATTCTCCAGTCTGCCCTCGGAAATTCGCGGCTTGATATTCAATCATCTAAGTCTGGAAGATATATCGAATCTTCTCCTAGCATCTCCCCTGTTGAACCGCTGTTCTCAGGATGACTTACGACGTCGGCTCATTCTGGAATGGCCATGGCTTTGGGAAGCTTGGTCCAAGCTGGAATACTCTGCGTGGGTAGGGCCGACAGCGCGAGATTTACGGGAATCAGTTAAGCCTCCTGGAAAACAAGTTGTGATATCGGACACAGATGCGGTGAACTGGGGCTCAGCCTTCAGATGGATATCGAGGCAGAGGTCCAATGACGAGCTGAAGGGATTGAGAAACCGCCAAAGAATTTGGAAAAGATCTGGGGAGATTCTGGATAGAATCGACCAGCTCCGAAAATACGAGGAACTAGCTAAAGATGCTTCTGTGCTATCTATTAGTCAGGGTCGCTAAGCTATTATAGTTACAGGTCCTCGTTACCTGATCACATAGCACTTACCAGCTCCGGCATCAATTATATAAGAATATGACGAGCCATGAGTTGTTTCTGTGAGAATTAAGTGTACGTCACTAAGTTGGCGGCTCATGTTCTCGTGCGTTGCCCTTCACGTCGGGCAGGCGTGGTCTCTTGGGCTGTTACGCGAAGCTGTTCATCTGGAAGAAACTTTTTTCAAGACTACGTTTTCACGATAAAAGATTAGAGAGTCTTGGATAAATGTAGATAATAAGCAACGAAATTCGACTAGAATAAGATTCAATACTTGGCAGATACAAAAATTCATTCCCAATCATCCCCCTCAAGCTGCTCGTCATAACTTGCGATTATAGACTCAGTGAATACCGACATTGCAGGTGATTCTAGACCAGTCCATCCTCCCTCAAACACTTATGTCAACACCAGCTCAACATCTTCTGTTACCAACTCTTCCCACGCCTGTTTCCAAATTCCGCCCAGTGCTCGACGATAGACCTTTCCATTTAAACCTTGTCCAATACAAAGCACATTCACAACCTCATATACGTCTGCATCCTCAAACTCTGGCCTTTCCCTGATCTTTTGAAACATATGCGGGATACGGGATGGCGCCTTAAGATCCAGCACTCCCTCGGACATGGCAATCACCTCGACTTCATGTGTGGCCAGCGCGCTTTCTCCCTTCTCGAAAGCAAACGTTACGTGGCCGCACCAAGATCCATAGGGGGATATGAGATCTGTCTCTAATGTTGCGTCCGACTCATCAAGCTTGCCACGGAGAAATTCTTGATCTTCATCAGTAATCTGAACTAGAACATGCGCGCGCTTCCCCTGAAAGAGAAGATGGGGGTGGAAAGGCCTCTGATCGATGTCGCGATATCTTACGAGAGGCGGGATCGGGTAGTTAAAGGCTGGATGGGGGACTATATGCTCATGGCTCTTGTTTTGATAGTATATCTTGCCTTCCTGGTCCTCTGTGTGACGTGTCCAATCCTCCGGAATGCTGGTGCCCTCGCTCTCGAAGTGTTTTCGCACAACGTGGTACGTATTGTCAATCTTCACCCATTTCCCAGTCAGAAGCTGCTTGTACCATGTGGCCAAGGGATGTACTATCAGGGGTCCGCGAGGGAAGCTGTAGTCCTCGGCGGCTTTCCACATATCAAACCTCAGATCTCCCCGCCACGATACCCAAGACCAAGAGGGATGCTTGAAAGCGGTGGAATATAGGGGTCGGACCGAACCCGGGTCCCTCCGCAGATGGACACCAGCAGGGCCGACGTCCCACAGCATGCCGATATCGAATGTATACTCTGCAATACCATATAAGAGGCCCCCGGGGAACCAAGCAGCCATGGGCGTCATGACTCCCAAGAAGGCGTTGATCGCATCAGCAGACCATGTCAGGTCTCGTCTCGCATATTCAGTCGCCAGGTCGCTATATTCGCCAATACTAGGCCATGTCACTATGCCCATCTTCTTGTTCTTATCAATACGAGAAATGGGAAGCCGGGTCTGAGTCCTCTCACTCGGGAAACATACATCCTCAGCCCATTCATCGCCGAAACAAGTCCAAGTCGCCATGTGGCCCAGCCCGAGCAAGCGCCGAGAAAAGACCTTCTCCTGGAGAGTCCACCCTCGTGTGTTCCATTTGAGGCTGGAAGAATCCAGATCCTCTGGATTCAATGATTCCCGACCCTGTGTTCTAATCAGAGGGTTGTTGGGGAGTGTTATCACACGCTGAACCGGCTCCTGCTCATCTTCTGACGCTGGCGGTGATCCCACACGAGGAATGCCTGCATTGGCGTCTTCCCCAGATGATGCAACAATTGTGAGATACGCATTCGCATACACAGCACCCATCCCTCGGAGCTGCTCCTTCTGGGTCTCCGCGTCATCCTGCACGATGCACACACTGTCCACCCACAGGTACGGCACACCCAGCTCGGCCGTCAACTCTATGGCATCACGCACAGTCCGCGGCAGGGTAAACGCTCCCCCCTCGCCAAACGCGCCTAGCCGATGAAGCTCTGCTACGTTCTCTTTAAGCGCAAGCTGAACCTGGGCAGTGCCCCAGACATAACTAAGCGCGATGTACCGGGGCGGCGGATCATCTTTACCGATGGAGGGAGGCGAGACGATACACAGGTTGTGGACGTCAATGAAGCTTAGGGGCGCTTTGGGCAGGAGGTAGGTGTCATAGGGGCGATGACAGATGTTTTTGTGAGAAACGTCGCAGTGGGAGATCCAGGATTTGATGAGCTTCGTGTCCACATGGGAAGGACTGACGATTCTCGCGCGTGGTTCCTGCGGTGTCACGCTCCTGGTAGTCAGGAAATAGCTGATACTGAGCTCTTCGCCGACGCCGCCCGTGGTCAAAAACCCCCTCCGGGACGCGAGGGTCGCAGTAACTCTTCGATCATCTGGCTCACCCGCAACGACCGCCACTCGAGGCTGTTCGTCGGAGAGGTGTGCAGTGAGGATACTGCTGCGTAAGTGATCTGTTGAGAGGAGGATGGATTGGCACGAGGTGCACCCAGTGGCAGTGCTCCGTGACCGGATGTCGGCGGGGGAGCCAAGAAAGAAGTCTCGTGCTTCGGAATATGGGATGTTGCTGGCCAAAGACTCTTCATATAGATGGAGGGCGTCAGCGAGCAGTCGACAGGCGAGGCATGTGGACGGCATAGTGTCGTTGGTCGCTCTATGTAGGTCATACTCATCGTAGATTCCGCAGAGGCTGTTTTATTTTGGGCAAATGTAGTTTGTCAGCCTGTGTCACTTTGTCGGCTTGGCGCATGACCTGGTGATCAATTCAGCCAGTCCGCAGCATGAATCATTTGATGTCCTTGTATCTCCTGGCCTCTATCTATCTACAAATCCATGTATTCCCACGAGGTTAAAATATTGCTAACAGGACTCAATACATGGCTAGAAATTGGTCAAAGTTTCATAAGGAGGAGCTCCAGCTCCATCTCCAGCTGTATCAAAGGGTCAAACTGGTTGCTGGTGAGGCCGCATTAATGCCTCGCTGCGCCTCTACTGCAGAAGCTGAAAGGCTGAATCAACCACCTCATCTCTTCACTCTCAATTCACAATATCGCCACTGAGACAATAGTATTTTAATTTATCTGCTAATGGTAACATATTATTCATGACAACAACCGCCCACGCGATCTCTTTTGATTTTGGCCTACTCCCCTAGCAAATGGTATATGTCACCTTCCACCCATCCAACTTCTTCACTTAGGCTACTATGATGAAGTGCCGCAGACCTTGTCAACGGCCTTGTTCGCGCAGTCATTACCCCCATGCTGCCAGCACTGGCTATCATTATAGTTGACAGCTGTGAAGACGGAAAACAGGCACTGCGCGTAAACGTCACCCGCCCGGCCAGCGCAGAGGGGCTCGCAACGCGCGCAGTAGCGTGAATAGCCACCAGCCTGCTCTTCGCAAACGCTCAGATCAGGAGTGGCAGTTGGGGTAGCAACTGCAGAGGTAGTCGAAGGCTCATCAACTGCAACGGGCTTGTGATACAGTTAGCGTTTGGTGGTTTACTCAGAAACTGATTGAGAAGCGGTACAAACCTGAGCCAGAGACAGGGCAGGCAAAGCCAGGAGGAAGGCGAGTGTGAACTTCATAGTAATTGTTTTGGTGTTTTGAACAGAGTGAGAGAATGAGCTGGATTGGGTTGAGAGTAGAGGCCGTAGAGCTGCTCAAGATGAAACGTTTCCGAGCATATCGGTATTTATACTCGCTCTCTACGGCATTACCCTGCGACCAAGGAAGGTTTTATTCGCATTGTCTGACTTTCCATGTCTAGAAGGTGCCAATCAACACCAAACAATCCTGTTACCAATTCACGGCCCTGTGGCAAAAACAAATCCTCCGAATTTACCGGCAGGGCAGGGGTAGCGGCTCCGACTCATGATTGATAGGGACCACAGTGGACTTGGCAGGAGAGGCCGTCTGATACCCCTGACCCAATCTCGGATCTCGGTCTCCCCTGCTCTTGCATCGCCACGGAGGATCGGACACGGTCGAATTAAGTGTCTGGACTTGGATTCAGCTTGAAGCCTGGTCCTCACAATACGGATCGCCCAGACATGCTCCGATCAGGCATGTGAGAAGGTTGTTGGCTAAGCACTCATCCCGAGTCTACGGAGAGCTTGCGGTTCAGGGCCTGACATGGAAGAGTTGTATCAGTTCCAGACTAGGACCAACAATCACATTGCAATGGTCATCCACCGGGCCTGTTTAGTAGTCTATGTTTCGATTCAATATCGTTTATGGTATATAGGTTAGAATAATGTCACGTTCTCTCATCAAACAATCCGATCTCATGATCAAACGGTCTGGTGGTCTAGCGGTATGATTCTCGCTTAGGGTTAACCCTAGAGCAATTTTGCGAGAGGTCCCGGGTTCAATCCCCGGCCAGACCCTTTACTTTTGTCATTTTTGTTGTTGTTTGGGTCTCAGGCGTTGATTATGCTGTCTCATGAGCGTTGAAATTTTTTAGCCATTGTGGGGCTGTGAGTCACTCGGGGAATTTCCGGGGCGATGGATCCGCATATCAAAAGGCCCCGTATCTAGAATAAGCAGATTGGCAGAGTCAATTTGCTACTTCCAACGTTTGTGATCGTATTAAACTGCAAGCCCATTGTACTTTAAAAGTCTGTAAATATATTAATTTCATTCCAAGACGATTGGAATATATGCATTATAACTAGTATCTTCCAGCTCTCCTTCTAGACCTGTAAGTATTGAATCTAGACGAAACGTGTAATCAACTACAGGGTAACTAGCATGATAGAGGTTGGAAATCAAACCTTCAATGTTGACAATGCCCATGATTAAGTCGTTTAATTAGAAAATTGACGAGTAATACAGTAGCCAGAGCCGGGAATATCGAAGAGTTCTTTGGTGTAGTTCGCGTTATTAACATCCATTGTTGCTGAATGATCCCAGCTCGTCGGGGCACAACAGGATTCTGTGCATCTAGTTCGCTGTGGATGTGTACAATTAAAGTAATGTATTAAACGGGCTGGATTTTTCCTTCAAGGAAATAAATTACGGATCTGGGATATATTCTCTCTTCTGTTACAGGATTTCACAGGCTAGAAAAGACGGACTTAATAAGCAAGTGTTCAACTTTGGTATTGAATGTTTTTTATTTGCTTCTGCCTTCAGCATCGTATTGAAATCACTCTTCTTTGTACACATCGTACTTGTATTGCGAGCCAGGATGATCGCTTCGCAAGCCTGCTTGTCCCTTACCATACACGCTCTCCCTCAAAGTGAGACCTGATTCTTCCTCAGATCGCGCCTCGGGGTACAAACCACGCCGCCTCAGTTCAGGAACAAGCAGCTCCACTACATCCTCGAACGTCCCGGGAGTAGTGACATATGCCACGTTGAATCCATCAAGGTCACCCTCGTTGATCCACCGCTCCATTTCATCCGCCACAGTTGCGGCTGTCCCCACAGACACAGAGGCAAGACCTCCAATAGATGCCTTCTCCGCAATGACACGAGGCGTCCACTGGGGTATCTCCTTGCTGGTGGTGGTGAAGGAGTCGAGAACACTGCGTACCTTGTGGGCCTCCAAGGAATCGGACGCGCTGAGTTCCTGGTCCAACGGGATCTTGGAAAGGTCGATACCCGTCCAACCACTGACCAAGACGAGCCCTCCTATCGTCGAAGCATGCTTCTGCGCTCGCGCCAGCTTCTCCTGGGCCTCCTCTTCAGTACGCCCGATGATTGGTGTGAAGGTAGCGAAGAATTTGAGCGACTGGGGGTCTCGGCCGAGTTCCGCTGCTTGTTTCCGGATGGCTTGGATCTTGGGCCTTAGGACTGACGGTGAATGGGAAGAGACAAAGATGCCCTCTGCATGTGTGGCTCCAAAGGCTGATCCTGCGGAAGATGTGCCGGCCTGGAAGAGGAAAGGCGTTCTTTGTGGAGAGGGATCTACAATGTGTCGGCTATCGACGTTGTAGTACTTCCCATGATGGCGGATAGTACGGATCTTGTCCGGATCAGCGTACTCATCAGTTTCACGGTTGGCCACGATGGCGTCATCTGCCCAAGAACCTTCCCAGAGCCTGTAGTGGGTAAATCCATCAGTAAAAGGCCACAAAGCACAAGAAGACTCCCCCAAAAAGATCATACTCACTTGTATAACACACGAAGATATTCATCTGCCTGAGCGTATCGTTCATCGTGCTCGATTGGGTTGTCTAGCCCAATGGCTTTGAAAGCGGCCTTCTTCCAGGATGTGACGATGTTCCAACCCACACGACCCCTTGTGAAGTGATCGAGGGTTGATAGTCTCTTAGCCAGTAGAAAGGGGGGCTCGAAAGATGTAGAGGCTGTGATAGCAAAAGACAAATTTTTGGTCACAGCTGCCATGGCGCTGATGGGCTTCATAGTCCTTATTAGCAAGAGGTCTCGAGTGGGATGTCCATACAGGGACTTACAATCGTAGGGTCAGTCATGGGCCACTGTGCCGCTCGGCGAATGCAATTGTCCAAGCTGCCCTCATACGTGTCATATCCGCCATATGTGTCCGCCAGGAACAGCGCGTTTATGCCACCTTTGTCTAGGAGCTTGGCTAGGTCCGTCCAGTAAGTCAGATCTCGCTTGAAAGCCGATCTATCCTCGGGATCCTATATGCATGTCTCGTCAGAGCCATTCAACTAATGATGGAACAAGTCCTTTCCGGGCGACTATACCTTCCATTGACCAGGGGCCATATGGCCAACAGTGGACATATCAAAAGCATTCAGGATAATTTGTTTCTTTGTGCCATTTTCGCCACCCGCACCGGCATTGACGCCTGCATCCGATGTAGTGGTCATTTTGACAGATGTCTTCCCTGGTTGTGAAGACTAAAGTAGGCTACGTCTTTTCTTTCCTGTTTTGTGTCCCAACCCCGACTGGCTCTGATTTTTACATATGCGACATTATTATAGCGGCCCAAGGCCCTTAATCTACTACCAGTAAGCATATTCCATTGCTTGGGGCGGCAGCGATAACGGCCGCGGAAACGGATCTTGAGGGTGTGGGGTTGTAGCGTCATTGGGCGATCAGATGTCGTTATGGCCTCGGACGTTGCATGGAGTGGTGGTAGAGGACATGCATTATCATTTGCATCTCAGTAGCCATCCAGCACTCGAAGCGGCATGACCCGTTGCCATGAGGTGGAGAAGTGACATGCATGAAGAGAGCGTTGAGCAGGGGGGTGTCATGCTGTTGACCGTAACCGACGATGAGGACAATTAGATCGTGGACGTTTTACTGCACGGCGAGAGCCGCGGCAAGCTGTAGGTTCGTTCGCGCCAGGTTCTCAATGCCTGCTCTATGCCTGTTGAGTCAGTTAGTTTGAGAATAGAGGGTGGTGATGGGGGCTGGAAGAAGCCATCCCGTGTTTTAGCGTCGGGAAGACGTGACTTGGAGTTGAGATGACGGAATCACTCAGGCTTACCCATGCCATTTACAGCGTATTGCACAATTTGACCAGCCAAGTGCGTCTTTAAGTACCGGGATCATGCCTCATATGTGGTTGGATTAACATACATACAGCAATGCTTGTTAGCCGCGCACCCTCCTGGAAACGTAATCGAGTGTGCTGGGTCTAGACCCCGGCCGTGACGGTTTCTCCTCGTGGGCGAGTCGGTGACATTCACTTGGCTGATCTATTGAATTTCTATCAGCTATTTTCTCTTGTGTTACCACGTTCTAGATCCCCTTTTCCCTCCTAGAGAGCAGACTTGGCTCAAAAGACGTGATATGACGAACGATCGCCGTCGAGTCAGATCCTCCCAATCCCAGCTCCCAAGTTCCCGGCTCCTGGGTGAACCCTCGTCTGCCTTGGCTAGCCCCACGATCATGAGCTAATTTAGACGTTGTATCAGCCCTGACCGATCAGGTCAGAGAAAAATTGAGACCAGGGTCAGACAGAGCGTCCGTCCATATATGATTGATTGCCGATCTTGTTCGTTCCCGCGACCAGACTCTCATTCGGCACATTTTCAAACTGTGATTCTCGCCAACTTTCTCCCAAGATGTATGGTGTAGAAAGAAAGAAGTGGTACCACCTCAAATGGTACGCGGATACCGATACTCCAGAGGAGCGCAAGTTCCTCATCAAGATAGATGCCCTCATCGTCCCATATGCTATCATTGCCTATTGGGTCAAATATATCGACCAAGCGAACCTTAGTAAGTCGGCCAAACAAAGGAGAGACAAGAGACATCGGTGCTGACGATTTAACAGACAATGCCTACGTCGCTGGTTTGAAAGAAGACCTTGGGTTCAAGGGCAATGAGCTCGTTCAGCTGCAGACGTTCTACATCCTTGGCGCTGTTCTTGGACAGATCCCCTTCTTCTTCCTTCTCACATATATCCCGATTCATTATCTTCTTCCATTCCTTGATGTTGCCTGGGGCATTTTTACCCTGCTCCAGTTCAGGGTGACGGGCTTTGCCGAACTGGCCGCCTACCGCTTTCTGGTTGGTTGGTTCGAAGCAGCCTTCTTCCCTATTATGCACTATCTTTTCGGTACGTTTGCTCTCGACCCAGTTCAAAACTCTGCTTGACTCAATTGACTGACCTTATCTCCTTTTGAAGGATCTTGGTACA